GACTCCGGCCGTTGCCATCGGCGACGAGTTTTGTTCACTGACATTTTCTTTATCGGATTCTGATTCTGCGATGTTCTGGCCCCGAGTTCGGCGGCTGCTGTTTATTTTCTTTGAATTCAGTGAAGTTTTCATTTGGAGCAAAATAAGGAAAAAAAAAAAAAAAAAAAAACGCCTCGAGCAGAGGAACGAGGATTATTCTGGGCTGGATTTGCTCACGCTCCGTGAAATCTGGCTGCGTGTTCACTGACGTCCCCCGCCGTCCCCTCCTCTGTCACGGAGCCTCTCCCCAGAGGAGCTCTATTTCTGGAGACGGGGAGGATGGTTTGGCGGCCGCCTGTGGCTGCGGCAGATGGAAAACGCCCGTGGATGTTGGTGCTGCGCGGGGGGAAGAGCCACGGGCTCTGTGTGTGGTGTGTGCCCAGGAGTCAGAGGGGGTCTGTATACAGTCGTCCCTGCTGTGCGTGCTCTGTGCCCAGGAGTCAGAGGGGGTCTGTATACAGTCGTCCCTGCTGTGCTTGCTCTGAGCCCAGGAGCCAGAGGCGGGTCTGTATACAGTCGTCCCTGCTGTGCTTGCTCTGAGCCCAGGAGCCAGAGGCGGGTCTGTATACAGTTGTCCCTGCTGTGCGTGCTGTGTACCCAGGAGTCAGAGGATGAGTGTTTATACAGTGGTCCCTGCTGTGCGTGCTCTGTGCCCAGGAGTCAGAGGCCGAGTGTGTATACAGTCGTCCCTGCTGTGCGTGGTGTGTGCCCAGGAGTCAGAAGGGGTCTGTATACAGTCGTCCCTACTGTGCTTGCTCTGAGCCCAGGAGTCACAGGGGGTCTGTATACAGTCATCCCTACTGTGCGTGCTCTGTGCCCAGGAGTCAGAGGGATCTGTATACAGTCGTCCCTGCTGTGCGTGCTCTGTGCCCAGGGGTCAGAGGGGCTCTGTATACAGTCGTCCCTGCTGTGCGTGGTGTGTTCCCAGGAGTCAGAAGGGGTCTGTATACAGTCGTCCCTACTGTGCTTGCTCTGAGCCCAGGAGTCACAGGGGGTCTGTATACAGTCATCCCTACTGTGCGTGCTCTGTGCCCAGGAGTCAGAGGGATCTGTATACAGTCGTCCCTGCTGTGCGTGCTCTGTGCCCAGGGGTCAGAGGGGCTCTGTATACAGTCGTCCCTGCTGTGCGTGGTGTGTGCCCAGGAGTCCGAAGGGGTCTGTATACAGTCGTCCCTACTGTGCTTGCTCTGAGCCCAGGAGTCACAGGGGGTCTGTATACAGTCATCCCTGCTGTGCGTGCTCTGTGCCCAGGAGTCAGAGGGATCTGTATACAGTCGTCCCTGCTGTGCGTGCTCTGTGCCCAGGAGTCAGAGGCCGAGTGTGTATACAGTCATCCCTGCTGTGCCTGGTCTGTGCCCAGGAGTCAGAGGGGGTCTGTATACAGTCATCCCTGCTGTACCTGGTCTGTGCCCAGGAGTCAGATGCGGGTGTGTATACAGTTGTCCCTGCTGTGCGTGGTCTGTGCCCTGGAGTCAGAGGGGGTCTGTATACAGTCGTCCCTGCTGTGCTTGCTCTGAGCCCAGGAGGCAGAGGCGGGTCTGTATACAGTCGTCCCTGTTGTGCGTGCTCTGTGCCCAGGAGTCAAAGGCCGAGTGTGTATACAGTCGTCCCTGCTGTGCCTGGGTGTACCCAGGAGTCAGAGGCTGAGTGTTTATACAGTGGTCCCTGCTGTGCGTGCTCTGTGCCCAGGAGTCAGAGGGGGTCTGTATACAGTGGTCCCTGCTGTGCGTCCTCTGTGCCCAGATTGCATCCCGTGCAGACGTATTTTCCGGTCGTGATCCCGTAATGATGGGGGAGACGAGCATCTGCGTTGCGCGGGGTATTAAGTCACGCACAACTGGTCTAAAGTACGTAGGACGGTGCACACGGGTCCCGTGCAATCACTAGGTCATCTTATGGGACGGGCTTAGAGCCTCCCTGGGAATTCTGGGGTCGTGACCCCCCTGGTTATCCCATCCTGATGCGGCCTCCATGGTGATGCCTGGGAAAGGAATCGGAAGATTTCTCCGTGCACGAGGGGTTCGTGGAGAACGGAGGTCCCAGCTCGGGTCTGCAGCAAGCGGCTTCCCTTAGAACCACGGAGTCCAGTCTGTTTTGATGCCTGTGGTTCCGGGCTGCGAATCCGTGTTAAAAAACCACCCAGTGGAGAGGAGGCAAGGCAAGAAGCCGCGGCTATTGGACCAGGTAAAGAGGAAGTTGTGTCTGCAAGAAAGAGGACTCGGCACGGCGGGACCGCTCTCTCCCCATGTCTCCCGTGGGCTCCTGTGGGCTCCCTCATCAGTACCGTAAAGGATCGGGAGGAGCCGTTTCTGTGGCTCAGTTGTTAGAGTCTGAATTTGCAGCAATCTTTCAGAACAAGAGATAAGAGTCTGCAGGTCCAACAGCACCTCCCACCTTCGGCTCCTCGTGACTCAGATTCCCAGAATTTGCAAACCCCACACCTCAGCAGCAGATGTTCCCGCGCACGGAGTCCCGGAATCCCAGCCCCAACTGAGCGCTTTTCAGAGGAAACCCGTGACAGCCATCCCGCCTGTTCCCCGAATCGCTTTGAATCCCCCAGGACGGTCGTTTCTGGAAAGAGCAAAATTATTCGACACCCTTCTTGGAACATGGAAAGGAGAAGAAGAAGCGCTCTCGTTTCTATTCAGGATATCGTTTCTCAGGAAAAAAAATATATATCCTCTCAAGAAGGCAGGGCGTTCTGTTCCTGGGGAGAGTTCCACACCCGCGGACGTCATCCCACAGCATCTAGATAGAACTCTTCCTGGTTAAACCGTCAGCACCAGGACCAAGACGAGACTCGGAGCACACCATCACCATCGCCCTCCCCACCACCATCATCACGCCACCACCTGTCCATCATCAGCACCGTCACCTTCACTATGACTATCTTGACCTCCACCATTTCCATCTTCCTCATCAGTATCCTCCTCCTCATCATCAGTACCACCACCACCATCACCATCATCATCATCACCACCATCACCATCACCATCACCATCACCATCACCACTATCGCCAACACCTCCACCATCATCACCACCACATCACCACCATCATCATCACCATTATCATCACCACTGTTATCACCACCATCACCATTACCACCATCACCACCATCACCATCACCATCACCATAATCATCTCCATCACTACCATCACCATCATCATCACCACCATCACCATCAATATCACCTCCATCACCATCATCATCATCACCATCTCCTTCACCACCATCACCACCTCCATCACCATCACCATCACCACAACCACCATCACCACCATCACCACTATCACCACCACCATCATCACCACCATCATCATCACCACCATCACCACCACCATCACCACCTCCATCACCACCATCACCAACACCACCATCACTATTACCATTATCATCATCACCACCACCACCATCATCATCTGGATCATATCGTGGCCTTCACCATCTTCCTCATCAGTATCCTCCTCATCACCATCAGTGCCACCATCACTGTCACCACCATCATCATCACCACCGTTATCACCACCATCATCACCACCACCACCATCACCACCAACATCATCATCACCACCATCACCAGCATCACCATCACCATCATCACCACCATCACCACCATCATCACCACCATCATGATGACCACCACCATCACCACCACCAACACCATCATCACCACCATCATCACCACCATCACCACCACCATCACCACCATCATGATGACCACCACCATCACCACCACCAACACCATCACCACCATCATCACCACCATCATCATCATCTGGATCATATCCCAGTCTTCACCATCTTCCTCACATCAGCACTGCCGCCATTATAACAATCATCCTCATCCTTGGGAACACAGACCCACATGGTGGATCAGTTGTCCCCTGGGCGTCTGTTCTCAGAGAACCACGAGCCGTACAAGGTGCTTTCCCTGCTGTCCTCCATTTCCCAAAGACGCTGATCCGAGGGACGTTTGCCCTCTGGCTGGTGCAGTTCCAGCTGCAGCTCAGAAACAACTAAAAGTGAGGAGGGGACTTCCTGAGGGACATCGTCGAGATGGCCTTCCTGCAAACGCTTCTGGTGCACCCCTCCTCCTTGACGCCCAGTTCCTGCCCACGCCTTTGCCTTCCCGCCATTCTCTGTTTCCTTGGGAATAAACTCACCAGAAACGAGAACTGGACGTGGTCTCTTCTCGTCTTCGTTTCCCACGAGGGGTCTATTTCCTTTGGAGGAACTTGTCCTCGCCGAGTGTGAGCGTAGGAATGCCGTTCTTTCTTCCCCTTTCTGGGAGAGATGATGAGAATTCTAATGGTCCGTCTCTGCTGTGGCCACCCGTACCCTAAAGCACTCAGTTGGCCTCGTGGACCAATTTTTAAAACAGTGGCTTTTGCAATGGCGTGGTGGGCATCAGAGAGACTCAGCTCGGATGCCAGGAAGAGTGGGATCCAGCAGAGCTGGGAAGATACCCTCGGAAAAAGTCCAGATTCTTAATTAACTTCTAAATTTCCTCCAAACAAGGAAATTAAAAGTGATTGTCAATGATTAGATCGGACATGGAGATATATATGTATCTCTTACCGAACCAAATTTGAAAGCTTTCTTATAATACAGCTGATGTCACGCCTGGTTCCTGTAGAGATACACAGGAAACCCCAGGCGCTGAGTGGCTCTGACTCAGGGCTGGGTGGGTTGGGAGACTTGCTGAGGTCTCACTGCGTGTTCCTAACAACACTTGAACTTGAACCCCAAACTTGAGTGAGGGAAGAACACCCAACTGGCAGCTATGATCCACCAAGACAGCCCAGGACTCCACCTTCTCAAATAAATAATTGTTCAGGCCAATGAATACCCCAACCTGCCCCATGAAATGGTAAGGGGTTGGTTCAGGGCATGGTGTCTGATAGCGGAAAGGCAGGCAGGGAAGTTTGGGAAGTCCAGGAAGGAAGACTTTCACCATATGAATGAATCAACCAACCATCCATCCATCCACCCATCCACCCATCCACCCACCCATCCACCCATCTATCCATCCATCCACCCATCCACCCATCCTCCCATCCATCCTTCCATCCATCCATCTCCCATCCATCCATCCACCCATCCATCCATCCACCCATCCACCCATCCATCCATCCATCCACCATACATCCACCATCCATCCATCTATCCACCCATCCATCCATCCATCCACCCATCCACCCATCCATCCATCCATCCACCATACATCCACCATCCATCCATCTATCCATCCATCCATCCACCCATCCATCCATCCATCATCCACCCATCTATCCATCCACCCATCCACCCATCCACCTATCCACCCATCCATCCTTCCATCCATCCATCTCCCATCCATCCATCCACCCATCCATCCATCCATCCATCCACCATACATCCACCATCCACCCATCTATCCATCCATCCATCCACCCATCCACCATCCACCATCCACCCATCCATCTATCCATCCACCATCCACCCATCCACCATCCACCCATCCATCCATCCACCCATCCACCCATCTATCCACCCACCCATCCATCCATCCACCCATGCATCCGCTCATCTGTGTAATTTTCCATCTACCTGTCCATCTGTTCATCCATTTTTCTATTCATTCAGTCACCTGTCCATCTACTCATCCATCTGCCCATCCATCATCCATCCATCCATCCTTCCATTCATCCATCCATGCATCCACCCGTTTATTTAATCATCTGTCAATCTGACCATTCATCCACCCACCCATCCACCCATCCATCTCTCTACCCACCTGACTATCCATCCGTCCATCATCCATTCTTCCATTTATCATCCTTCAACCTGCCCATCCAACTATCTACCCATGGACTCCTGCAGCCACCCACCCACCCGTCTCACTCTCCATCCGTTCATCCATCCAGATACCCTCACATCCATCCATTCCCCACCTCTTCATCCATCCCTTTGTGCACACATCCACTCGCCACACATGCATGGTGCGATATCAAGGGCTTCCCCAACCTGGAAGGACAAGGACACATATATATGGGCAAGTTAACAGAACTCCCGCTCCATGAAGAAGGACCCTGGGCACCTAGGAAGGGAGACGAGCCTGAGATCAGAAACTCAGAAGACTAGGGCTCCATTTGACATCCTGTGACCCGCATCGAAACACGTCCCCTACTCAGACAGTTTGGTGATAACAGTGAAGTGAGGTGGAATGTGAGTGGGACAGGGGATGAGTTCAGTATTTTTGCAAGTAGCGGGCAGAAATTAGTTTGTCACGTATAAGGGATATTGGAAGCATGGGACAATCGTCATTCATGACAGTCTTGTTTAAGGAACAACACGGACTCCAGAGTGGTCACAAAACAATCACTCATCGTGGCGGATGAGCCATATGGGGAAATCTGAGGATAGAAGACCTTGAACGTGCACCCCCAAGGATGTTGGCTTGTAGGCAGTGACAGAGTGTGTGGGGCACAGAGAAGGGAAAGATCACGCCTCTGCACAAACTGGATTCCAATAGGGAGTTGCTAGAAGAAGGGAAATCAGCGAGGAATCCATTGGTATAACCGAGCTTCGGGAAAACCACGGAACAGGGACACCCCAGAGTCACGGACGTCAGGGAAATCGTGAAAGAAGGTGAGTCGGGTAAGGAAAAGCAAAGTCGGCTAAAATTTCAAAACCGAGGAGTCAGCATCCAGCAACGTCAGCACAAAACACAGATTCTGACTTGTCTTGAGGGAAAAGGAGCGATAAATGAGGGATTTGAGCAGTTGGGACGTCGTCCACCATGATCTGATGCCCTCTCAGTGACCAGAATCACCAACAGCCGCCATCTTTGTATATTGTGAGAATTGGAATGTAAATGATGTATTCGTGAGCTTTTCACCACTGTAACAAAATCCCTGAGGAAATCAACTTACAGGAGGAAAGATTCATTAGGGTTCAGAGTTTCAGAAGTTTGGTTCCATGGTCACTTGGCGCCATGGTTTTGAACGTTTGGTCAAGTAGGACATCATGGTGGGGAGACTATGGCGGAGGAGAGTTCTCAGCTCATGGCGGTCAGGAATAAGGAAGAGCAAGGATAGAGCCAGGGACAAGGTATAGTCCCCAATGATAAGCCACCAAGGACCCACTCCCTCCAAGTCGGTCCCATCTTGTGCCGTTTTCCCCCCTTCCGGGTGGACAATTCAGTTACTAATGGATTAATCCACTGATGAGCCCAGAGACCTCTGGATCCAATCCCTTCCCCAACGCCCAGCTCTGGACATGGCAGCATGGGATGGGGTTCAAAGTCTTCAGCACAGGAGACCCTGGGGGACCCAATCCATGCAAATGGTTAAATGGACGTGAACAAAGAGGACGAGCAGGTCCTCAGAGGAAGTGACTTTCCTCTGGGTCTCGGAAAAGGGAGAGAGATGCGGCTTTTAAAGGATCCCATTTCAGACGGTGCCACCACTAAGAGGCTCCCCCCGGGAACTGGATAGAGCAAGAACTAAGGTGGCCCGAGGGTCAACCAGCAAAACGCTCCTGCGCGTCTCCCCACAAGGGCACAATGGGACATCCGTTGAACACCCACGGAGACTGCACGTCCCCATGTAATTGAAGGAACATGCCAGTCTCCATATTTACATATATTTAGATCGATACACGTATTTATGATATTTGTTTATATATTTACCGAGACAATTTCAATATATATATATTCCCCCGTTTGGGGAATGTAATTACTGTTAATATTTCGCTCGGGAATTTTTCCTTGTTTCCGACATGTAGATTGTTAGGTTTCACCCACAGGCAATGCTAGATGCAATATAGAGGCAGAACTCAGGTGCAGGTGCAAAGCAAATATTTGCATATATAAAGCAAACATATATAGATACAAGAGCCCAAGTGTATGTCGTGCGTATATTTGTCTGTGTGCATTTCTGAGGCTGCGCAGGTCGGGCGGCTCTAGCTAAGGCTTGAGCGGTCACCAGGTTCCTGCACTCCGGGGACCTCAGCTCTGACACGAATCCACACACTCCCCACGTCTAAAGGGATTGGAAAGAAATGGGTGGAAAGTCAACAGCAATCGCACAGATGCTCTCCAGCTGCCAGAATCTGACAGGCGGCCACCTGTCAATCATTCCTTCTATCGGGTTTCTCTTGATGCTTTGCAAAGGGCTTATTTTAGCTTTGGGGAAAATCTTCTTATCCCAAAATAAACGATCGCGGGGAGACTGAGTGTGCCCCGGACGGGGAGGGGGGGGGCTGGAGGCTGGCTCCGCCAAGAAGAAGAAAAGGGTGCTGACCCCTCTTGGCCTTGGGAATGGAAGAGGGGGTGACCCTCCTGCACTGTGTAGCTCACAGCGGGGACCCCCAGGACCCTCCCTTGGGTCTTAGGATCCTTCCCAGGATTCAGTGGTTGGTCTGATTCCAGCAAAAGGAAAATTGAGTGCGACTCTCTAGAAAACACCCATTCCTAGTTGTTTTGAAAATTTACTTAAATTTCTAAAAAAAAAAATCCGACCCGATGTATCCGGAGAGATGCTCAGGGTCTGCAACCGCCATGTGCAATGTGGGTCCGGGTTTGAGAAGATGGAGACGTTCAAGCAGCAGACGGTCAGGTGACGCCCTTGTGGACAAAATGGAACTCTATTTTAAGAGACGGCATCCCAGCTAGGAAGGAGGATGGGACATCCCGTGTCCATCAAAATATGGTTAAGAAGATTTTGGGGGGAAAATGTGGAAAACGCCAATTCCCGAGCTGGAAGGGACCCAACAGGACACGGGGACACCCAGCACTGGGACCACTTTTCTTCCCGACTCCATGCTTGGGGTCACTAGTCACGGAGAGACACAGCAATCCTCTCCAAAGGCCAGCCTGGCTGACCGGTCCATTAGTCACGGTGGCTGGATTCTGGTGAGCCACCCAGTGTCCACTAAGTCAGAGAAGCATGGACGAGTTTCCTAAAGGAGATTCACGGGGTCAAGTGCGTGTCCTCCCATCCAGTGTCCAGCGTCCAGTGTCCAGCTGACAGCAAGCGCAGAACATGCCCATGTGCATGTGACCGCTTCGTCCACCACCCACGATATTGCTCCAGAAACTGGTCAATTAGGATGTTCCTCATTCTTCCAGGTGGACGTCCAGCCTGGGCCACTCGGAGGACCATTTCCAAAATAATGGAGTGGTCCCCAGGCGCACAAGTTGAGGGTGTAGACGTGTCTTTGGGGGAAAGAAAAGGGAACGTGGAGACTCGTGAAGCCATGAGCCCTCTCCAACATCCCTGAAGGACTTCGAGGGACGTGTGGCATCTAGGTCACCAGAAGGTCCTCAGAAGGTGGGTTCTGCCATGAGTCTCGGACGCTCACGGCCGTATGTCTGCCTGAGGGTTTGGAATAAGTTTGTTTTCAGAACAAAACTCAAAGACCTGGGCTAAGGACCTGGCAGTGTCCTCGTGTCCCAATAACTCATTATAAAAACCCAAGAATAACAATCTAGGTTTTTTTGGGGCATGGAGGACGAATCTGTCAAGAAAGTGCTCAGGAAAAAATCATCTCAAGGTGCAACGGAGAAGCGGAAGGAAGAGTCGGCGTGCAGTTCGGTTTCTTGCCTGGTTTGTTTCTCCCCCTCCTGTGCATCAGGAGGACGGGCTCCCTTCCCTTAGTCAAGGTCTTTCCTGTCATGTCACATGACGTCGGCGGCATCTGACTACCCGTCTGAGGACCTTTGACCCCTTCCTTTCCCCTGGTACAGAGCATGGTGAGCATCTCATGAAATGGACTGATCTGATGGTGATGGTGGTGATGGAGGTGATAGTGATGGAGGTGATGGTGGTGATGGTGGTGACAATGGTGATGAAGATGGTGGTGATGGAGGTGATGGTAGGTGGTAATGGAGATGATGGTGGTGATGGAGGTGATGGAGGTGATGATGGTGATGGTGATGGTGGTGATGGAGGTGATGGTGGTGATGATGGAGGTGATGGAGGTGATGGTGGTGATAGTGATGGAGGTAATGGTGGTAATGGAGGTGATGGTGGTGATGGAGGTGATGGTGGTGATGGTGGTGATGGAGGTGATGGTGGTGATGATGGAGGTGATGGTGGTGATAGTGATGGAGGTAATGGTGGTAATGGAGGTAATGGAGGTGATGGAGGTGATGGTGGTGATGGTGGTGATGGAGGTAATGATGGTGATGATGGTGATGAAGATGGTGGTGAAGGAGATGATGGTGGTGATGGAGGTGATGGTGATGATGATGGTGATGGAGGTGATGGTGACACAGGTGATGGTGATGGAGGTGATGGAAGTGATAGTGGTGATGGTGATGATGGAGGTGATGGTGGTGATGGTGATGGAGGTAATGGTGGTGATGATGATGATGGTGGTGATGGAGGTGATGGTGATGGAGGTAATGGAGGTGATGGAGGTGATGGTGGTGATGGAGGTAATGATGGTGATGATGGTGATGAAGATGGTGGTGATGGTGGTGAAGGAGATGATGGTGGTGATGGAGGTGATGGTGATGATGATGATGATGGAGGTGATGGTGACACAGGTGATGGTGATGGAGGTGATGGAGGTGATGGAAGTGATAGTGGTGATGGTGATGATGGAGGTGATGGTGGTGATGGTGATGATGGTGGTGATGGAGGTGATGGAGGTGATGGTGACACAGGTGATGGTGATGGAGGTGATGGAGGTGATGGAAGTGATAGTGGTGATGGTGATGATGGAGGTGATGGTGGTGATGGTGATGATGGAGGTGATGGTGATGGAGGTAATGGTGGTGATGGTGGTGATGGAGGCGATGGTGATGGAGGTGACGGAGGTGATGCTGGTAATGGAGGTGATGATGGTGATGGAGGTGATGGTGGTGATGGTGATGGTGATGATGATGGTGACGGTGGTGTTGATGGTGATAATGGTGACAGTGATTGTGACAATGGTGGTGATGGTGATGACGATGGTGATGGTGATGATTCGCTTCCCAACTCTGGGTAGACTGACATTGAGTCACCCCAGCCTGGCACAGGTCGCCAGCCATTCTGCAGTGGAAACGTCACTTACTGCAGCGACAGAGATCTACGCCTGTCACCAGCAGCTCGGCTCCGAGCAAAGGCTCGTGACTTCACACTGAAAGTCTCTAGAGTTGGGGACAGCAGCGGGAGGGGGGAAGGAGCCCTGGCAGCAGCCCGGGTGCTGACCCGTGGGACACAGAGGCGGTCACCTCCAGGGTGAACTGCTTCTGTCACCTGCAGGATTCCTGACTTTCCCACGCGATTACCCATCACGGGGCGACCCTGCTCCCTCCCTGGCTCTGTCCCCCAGAGAATGAGCTGAGCTGGGGGGGGGGCAGTGTCGTCAGGTAAGGTCCAGAGCCTCCTGTCCTCTCTCTGCTGGGTACTACTCTGCTTCAAAGTTCCCAGTGGCTGTCCCCTCTGTTCTCCTGACTCCTGCACCATGTCATGCTTCGTAAGAAGATGGTGGCTCAGCTCTTCCGTGAGGTGGCATCAGGTGGCCCTGTGACTCAAAGCCACCCAAGGGACGGCCATTGCGATGGGCGGCAGGATTGCTCATCATCTAGGGGGCCCGGAGGACGGAGGCTCCACCAACACTGGGCAGCCTCCTCCCCAGCATCTGCGGAGCCCAGGACTTGACCAGATGCCAGCAAACAGCCACCCGCGGAAGCTGACGGTGCGTCATTAAGCAAGGTCCCTTGTGAGAAGCAGCAGCCACCGTCGAATGCTGAACAAAGGCACGGTCAGCGTCCCCTGGTACCCACAGGTGGCTTTTGGAGCCCACCAATGTGTACGATCCCTCCAACAGGCTCCACACTGACCCGTCCTGGACACAAAGAGCTGGACACCATGGTAAGAGGTGGGTCCTGTCCACAGCTGGACCCCAGCACCTGTGAGTGGGACCTGGTGTGGGAACAGGGTCTCTGCAGAGGTGGTCAGTGCAGGGTCCTGAGATGGGCTCCTCCTGGGGCAGGGGGCCCTTGTGCCATGGCCGTGTCCTCCCCAGAGACAGAGGAGGGGACACAGACCCAGAGGAGGAGCCCCGTGGAGACGGAGGCAGAGACTGGAGTGAGGGGCCACCAGCCCAGGGCCACCTGGAGCCCAGGAGCTGGACAGGCAGCAGGAGCCCCCTGGACACCATGCAGGGAGCTCAGCCGGGGACCCTGGTCCAGCCTCCGCCCTCCAGGGCTGGGGAGGACAATCTTATTATTATCATCGTGCGATGGTGGCTATCGAACCTGTTGGTGTCATCATCCTTGAATGATAATACAACGTCCATTTCCAGCACAGTCTCTGCCCCCAACTTCCTCTCCGCCATGTCATGGATTTCTCTGGGAAGCAGCGGCTACTCCGCCGAAGACCTGTGATGTCCCTTGCCATCGGGATTCATGTTGGGCGCCATCTGCTCCAACCAGCTCCCCCTGATCAGTCACCCTCCGCCATATTGAGCCCCAGGATTCGTCCTTTGTATAAAAAAAAAATTCGTAGAAACGCACAGGACTGAAGTCCATCGGGGGACACTCGGGTGGGGACTTGGCTACGCCATGACTCATCACTGGTGACGTGTTTGGGTTCTGGGTGAAGAAGGACGGACGGAACGCCTTGGGAGGAGACGTGGACCAACAGCCTTTGGAGGACGGGCTCCGGTTCCTCCCAGCTGGCCCCTCGGAGGTTGGACGCTCTGCTGGGCCATTGAAGACCACTGCTCTGCCCTCATCTCCCCCCTCCTGCTCCCCAATGACACACCACGGTTGTCACTCGATCTGCAATTCCAGGGACACATTTTGCAATCCACAGCGCCCAGGGCGGGGGTCTTGGTTCTGATGACCCTCTGACTCCCATTCACCAGGCGACGGCCACAGGGTGGGCAGCTCCAAGCGTCGTGGCCAAGCCAAGAAGCAAGATGGCGGCCGGAGGCAGAGGATGGTCAACGGGACCCAGGAAGGAGGTGAGGTGCTTTCCCCGAGCCCCAGATTCCCTTCCTCGCTCTGCATCGCCTCCTGGCTCCAATCTCTCCCCCTCTGGATGTTTTCGGGGATCCCCTTGAGTCCACCAGAGACGCGATGCCCACTGGACCCTGGAGCCAAGGGTAGATGCTCAAACTGGGGTGTCTCCCAAGGGCCCACGGACGGAGGGCTTGGAACCCAAGGGAGCAAGGTCCAGAGGTGGGCTTCCCGGAGGTGACTGGGTCCACGTCAGAGATAAGGACATGGCCCCAGGAGGCAAGAAGGAGAATCCAAGGACAAGAAGATATTGTCCCCAAAGGCACAGCCCGGTGACCCCCTCCTCCAGCCACCTCCCACCTGCCTTGACTTACCTCCTGGTTCATTTGGGGACTCGCGGTATCCAAGGTCCAGTCCCTGGTGGCCGACTCCATGGCTCTGGCCCAAGGGGAGCAGAACAAGATGGCGGCAGGGCCTGGAGGAGGAGAGCAGCTCAGGACAGGGCACCAGGGGGCAGAGGGGAGAGAGTGGAGCCAGGGACAGGATATAGTCCCCAAGAGCACTCCCCAGTGACCCTCTCCATCCAACTAGGTCCCCTTTAATCAAAGCTTGGTGTCTCCTGAGGACCACTTGGGGACTTTAGAGCTTGGATGGCACCCGCTAAAGATGAGCAGAGCTGTGGGCGGGAACCTGCCACTCAGCGACTCCCGCCCACACCCTACGGGTCCGTGGTGGTGCACGTGGGTGTCGGAGCTCAGGCACCAGATGCTCAACCTGCAGAGACAGAGCCTCCGGCGGGAGGCTGAGCTGTGCAGACGCAGGATTTCTGGACAGAGGCTGCTTTTTGAGCCCCTGCGTGCGGTTCAAGGCCATGCCGTCACCTGGCTGGTTTGGAATATAGAAGGATGGAAGGAGACGGAGCCCCATGCCCGCCAGCGCACGGGACCCCATCTCCATTTCTTGCTGGGACTCTGTCGCGGGTGCATCCTCCACAAAACCAACAAACATCAGAAACAGCTCCATACTCTCTCTATATATATCCTGATTAAAAAGTGGGCGGCAGACCTAAGTGGGCACTTGTTGAAAGAAGCTAGAAGTGGCCAGCAGGCTTATCAAATAATGCCCATCATCACTGACCATCAGAGAAATGGAAAAGCCAAACCTCAATGAGACACCACCTGTCTCCAGTGAGAATGGCCTCTATCAAAATGGCCGGTGTGGGTGATGATGTGGGGGAAAGAAGCCCTTTTGGAGATGCCAGTGGGAATTTTAGTTGGTACATGGAAAACAGTATGGCGGCTCCTCAAAAAATTCAAAAGAGCTGCGCATGTTGGCATCATCCGGAAATCCCAGCAGCTTGGGAGGCTGAGGCAGGAGGACCGCCATATGGGAGGCCAGCCTCAGCAACTTAGAAACGTCCTAAGCAACAGAGCAAAGGAGGCCCTGAACACATTCCATTTTCATTACTGTCACTAGATACCCAAGGCCGGGTACTTTAAAGAGTACAGAAGTTTCCTTACTCACATTTCCATTTCTAAAAGCCCAAAGATGACGGTGCTCCGTCTGGCAATGGCCTCTGGGACTTGAATCAACCTCCGCAGCTGCAGACTCCACATGCACAAATGGTTCCCATCGAGGATCTAAAATATCTGGAGAGAAAAGACGGATCCTGACTGAGCGTGCACAGACTTTTTTCAAGAGTGAATATAAATGAGCAGGTAAGTTCGTGATCAGGAATCTGCAAATAACCTATCAAAGTGGGTTCACGGCGTCTGCGGCTTAGACCCAGCGCTCAGCTGGGACAGTAAACGTGGCTGGTGACCGTTGGGAGCCCGGGCAGTGTTCCCCGGGAGCTGGGAGAGGGAACAGGTCGTCCGTCAGGGTCAGCTGCTGTTTTTGCAAAAAATAAGGGTCATGAAGCCGACGTGAAGGTCATCTCAAGGTCATTTGGAGACGCACAGGCCTGTGCATGGACAAGGGGCTGTTCCGACCCAGCGTCCGAGGAGGAGGAGTGGATCATATGCCCAAGGGTCTGGTCCAACTGGGGGACCATAATGGGCATCTGAAGGATGGCATAGATAGATAGACAGACAGACAGATGACAGCTGGGTGGACAGATGAAGGACAGAGACTCTGTCCTGCAGGTCTCCCCTGCACTGGGGGCCTCTGGGGCTGGGGCTCTCTGGGGTGGGCTGTGCTGTGCGCTGCAGGAAGTGGAGCAGCCTCTCTGGGCCCCACACACCAGGAGCCAGGAGCAGCCCCACCCAGGGTGTGAGAGCCACCTGGACAGACAGGATGGGTAGATGGCAGATAGATAGATACATAGATAGATAGATAGATAGGCAGGATGGTTAGATGATAGAAGATAGATAGATGGTAGAACTGGTAGATGACAGATAGATGGATAGACAGATGATAGATAGCCAGGATGGATAGATGATACATAAATGATAGATAGACAGGATGGATAGACGATAGATAAATGATAGATAGACAGGCTGGATAGACGATAGGTAGATAGAAAGATTGGACAGATGGATAGGTGATAGATACACATATATGCACACTGTCCTGTATATAAAATATGCACTAAGACCAAAAACATATATACTGACAGATACTGGATTTACTAATATGTATCACTTTTGTCTATTTACTAAAATACATATATTACAACACAATAATACATACATACATCAACATGCATGCAAAACATAGGTACACATATGAAATGCATATTAGTAAAATACATAAATATATCAGTAGAATAGGTGTCTAGATGTGAGTAAATATGTATTTATATTCTTAAATCGTGAGCTCAGGTCGGTCCACTTTATAAAAACGGTATTTGAAACGTCGGCCTTTACCAAGACCCGTGCCCAGGAAGAATTCAGCCCCCGCCGTGAGGACCCCGGTGGCTGAATCAAGGCTCCTGCGATCTCCGGGAGTGTGGCAAGATCACGTCCCCTCTCTGTGACCGAGTGTCATCGGAGCTGGTTACATGATTCCAGAGATATGGAGGGACAGAGGGAGTGAGAGAGAGAGGAGCCGGGGACAGGATATAGTCCTGGAGGACCAGCTTCCATCCTCTGTCACCTACAAGGACCCGTCCCCTGTGACCCCTGGAGCCCTCTCGAGGCACATGTCCATCTCCAAGACCAGCCTCGCCATCCGACTCCTGCTCCCTGTGAGCCATTGGTCAATCTGGGTACCAGAAGTCTTCGCGGGTGGGGTCCAAATCACATCCTGTGACCTCGCCAACTGCACGCCCCTCGATTGGCCCCACGGACCTCACCAAGAAATCTTGCAGGCTGCGGTCACCCAGACCCAGGCGCTGATTTCCCGGGTCCCTCTTGAGCAGGGTGGCGGACACTCACCAAGCACCAGACAGGAGCGCGTGTGTGCACGGAGGACACGTGGGCACCCGGGATGCCCACACGCTCTCCAACGCAGGCATCCGCCCAGGCACCTGGCGTTCCCAGACCTGCTGGATACACGTCCACACGGTCAGCCCACGGAGGACACTGGGGACAGGTGCACCGTCCTGTGTGGACCCACCCAGAGGCACCCACTCTCACGCGCCCAGAGGCACCTTGAGATGTTTACAGCATAAAATTAAGACCCGGTGTTTGATTGACAGGGTCCCTTGGGGTCTACTCTGCCCAGAGTCTGTCCAAAGCAGCTGGTCACTGCCCATTTTACAGTCATGGCACTGCTAGGTCTTTGTGTTGATGTGGCCGGGGACAAAGAGACCTTTGATATCTATTGATAGATGCATGAATCCATCCATCCATCTGTCCATCCATCCGTCCATCCATCCACCCATCAGTCCACCTATCTGTCCATCCATCTGTCCACCTCCACCTGTCCATCCATCCTCCCATCCATCCACCCATCCACCCATCCATCCATCCTCCCATCTATCTGTCCATCCACCCATCCATCCATCCATCCATCCACCCATCCATCCATCCATCTGTCCACCTCCACCTGTCCATCTATCCGTCCACCCATCCACCCATCCACCCACCCCTCCATCCCTCCATACCTCCATCCACCCATCCATCCCTCCATCCACCCATCCATCCATCTATCCACCCATCCACCCATCCATCCATCCTCCCATCCATCCACCCACCCATCCACCCACGCATCCACCTGTCCATCTATCCGTCCACCCATCTGTCCCCCCAACCACCCATTCATCTATCTCTCTGTCTGCCGTCTAATCCGTCTGCCCGTCTCCTGCCTGTCATCTCTCTCCATCACTTATCAATCTGTGACAGTGCCCTGTCCCTTGGAGGACATACGTCCCCATCTGCAGGAACTCTGGTGGCAGGTCCTGGCGGCCAGCGGGCACAGCTCAGGGAGTGGCTCCCCATCCTACAGCACCCAGCCCCCACCAGCCCCAAGCGTCCACAGCGACCAGGTCCTGAGACCCTGGTGCAGACAACGGAGCCATCGAGTGGCCTTTAATCTTTGATGCACAAACAGGAGGTGGGGAGGATCCCCCCGAAACCCCAAGGTCCAGCACCAAACGGTCTCCACGTCACCCTGAGTCTCCACCTCTGAGCCCAGCATGACCACAACCTCGGGGTCCCTTTGGCCCTGAGGCCGCACTGTGACCTCCCACCCTGCGTCACCTCCCGAGGGACCTTGACATTTTACAAACGTCCTCAGCTTCAAAGGTCACCTTGAGACGGCATCCGTGACATGGAGGGAGTGTCTGCTCCCCGGACCCCGAGGTGGAGGCTCAGAAAGGAGGCCAGGAACCCCCCACAGCCCACCCCGGGGTCCCTTTCCAACCAGATCCTGCAGAGATGAGGGTGACGCACACGCAGGGGAGTTGGTGACACACTTTCAAGTCCACAGGTGCCATTTCTCCCCTCCGCAGCAGCTTCACCTAAATTGCAGCATTTCACTCAATTTTATGGAAAAGTCTCTTTTTTTTTTTTTTCTTTTCTCACCTTTTTCCCTCCCTCTCGACGTTGTCACTTACATTGACATCGCGGTTGGCACCCGGGCCGCGGGCGCAGGCGGGGCCCTGTCTAGCTGTCTGGGCTCCTCAAGGCTGTGGGGACCAAGGGAACGAAGTCTGCAGTGGGACCTACTGAGCTAAAATCCAGCAATCGCAGCCAGGTCCCCTGTGGAGGCTCCAGGGCAGAGGCCATTCTTGTCCTCTCCCCGAGTCCGGAGGCTGAGCCCCCCCCTTTTTTTTTGGTCCCAGGGACTGAACTCAGGGGCCCTCGACCCCTGAGCCCCGTCCCCAGCCTGTTTTGCATTTTATTGAGACACAGGGTCTCCCTGAGCTGCTCAGGGCCTCGCTTTGGCGGAGGCTGGCTTTGAACATGCGAGCCTCCTGCCTCAGCCTCCTGAGCTTCTAGGATGACAGGCAGGTACCACGCCCAGTGGAGCCTGAGCCTTTTAAATTCACTGTGTCCATGGGACGGAGCCTCGGGCACCACGGGGAGCAGGGAGCACCCGAGTGGGTGGTAGTGGGTGAGGTTCACACTGAGTGCTGGGGGCTGCAGCCTCAGGGCGGCCGGGGATGAGGACAGGGCGTTCCTGGGGTGTGCGCTCCTCCTGTGGCTGCAACGTCACCTCCAGGGGAGGAGTCCTGCAGGAGAGGGTCCCCTGACCACCCTCCAGCCCTGAGCTAGTGGGTGTGGGGGGGTGAGACAGAGACAGAGATGAGAGACGAGAGGAGGAGAGATGTGAGAGACGCAGGCACGGGGAGATGGTGACAGAGATAAGACGGAGAGACGAGAGACGAAGAGAGCAAACAGAGAGACGGGGTGTCCCCCACTCCTGGTTTGTGGGGTCAGTACAAGAAAATCAGGAACCACCCAGCTGAAGTGGATTAATCCACTAATCGGGGTCTGTCATCTATCAATTCTGGCTGTCCATCTATCTCTCTGTCATCGACCCATTCTGTCTATCTACCTGTCAATCATCTATCTGTCATCTATCTATCTTCTATCATCTATCCATCCTGTCTACCTATCTATCCACCTGTCTATCTATCTATCTGCCATCTACCAATTCTGTCTGTCCATTTATCTCTGTGTCATCTACCCATCCTGTCTGTCCAGGGGGCTCTCACACCCTGGGTGGGGCTGCTCCTGGCTCCTGGTGTGTGGGGCCCAGAGAGGCTGCTCCACCTCCTGCAGCGCACAGCACAGCCCACCCCAGAGCGCCCCCAGCCCCCGAGGCCCAAGCTGAGCATGAGAGGTCACCGGCCGTAGCCAGGGACACCTGCCATAACCCTCACAGACAGGAGAGCCGGCCCCCGCGTGCCTGCCCTGGCCTCTGTTTGGTTACGGATCCCGGTCACGCAGCGCGGTCCCCAGCGCCCCAGGCTCAGCCAAAAGGAAACGCTGTGTCTTGGGCGACGGCTGGGGCTCCTTTAATCCTGCACAACGGTTTTGGTTTTATGACTGACTCCGGCAATTCCTGTTGTCTCCTGGGAGGGCTTAGATTCTCAGGGACTGATTGCCTTCGTCACTTGGAGAAAACGAAATATTCTCTTTTCCCCCCACGGAAAGAATTTCCAAAACAGGCAGAAAAAATAAAATGTTGGGACGCGGCTGGATCCGTTGCTTTGCATTTTGAAAGTGGCTCTTGACAAAGATCCTTCCTTCAGAGCTGGGAGCTGGGTTTTGCAGGGACTTTGGGGCTTTTGCAAGAGCCCAGCGTGAGGTCCTGCAGGCAGCTGCCTTTGAAAGCCAAAGGTCAAATGGAAAGAAAACGCCATTTGTATTCAAGTCTGCAACCTGAGCGACTGTGAGGCCACCCCAGGGAAAGGGGAAGGTCCCGCTTCCTAGCAGGAAAGCATCTGGGATTATTCGTCCCCAGCAGCCACGGGGGCTTGGCTCCAGGTCCCCTGGTGGACAGCAACATCCCTGGGCACGGAGACGCCGAGGAGGTCCTGTGACCTCCGTGCGTCCCCCTGTGTACCTGACGAGGCCAGTCACCTGGTGGGCAGTCGGCCTGGCCGCTCAGGAGCTTCCCGTTGGACCTGCAGGGTCACCGAGAATGGGAACATGTGTGTGGCCCCACAAGGAACCTGTGGTCTCACGGACAGGCACTGGGGGTGTGGCACACTCTGACCTTTGGAGTCTTTATCGACTATCATGAAGGTGACCCCTTCTCTGCAGCGGGCAGGCAAAGAGGCCTGCAAATTCCCCGACACGGGACAACTTCTCCCCGGGGTGTAAGGCAGCATCATTTATTTTTGGGGACCAAGAATTGAACCCAGGATCCCTAACCACTGAGCCACATCCCCAGCCCTTCTTATTTATTTATTTATTTTAAAAATTTTGAGTCAGGGTCTCGCGAAGTTGCTCCATAGGGCCTCCCTATGGAGCTGAGGCTGGCCTCCAGTTTGCAATCCGGGCCTCCTGACCTCCCAGAAAGCCTGGGGACACACGGGGTCTGTTTTGGGAGTGTCACTTGATGGGTGACCAATGGGACACAGGGATCTGGTGGCTTCTTTGCTCCATTCATGCAAAATTGGACACTCCACCAGCCTGGCCCCAGGGGTCCCTCCCTGGAGGAAGGAGCCCCAGCCACGTCCTGGAAGGACATCGGAAGAGCCACACCCCTCATGGGCTGCGTTTCCTCACACCCAAGATGGCAGATGTCCGCCCCATGAGGCCGTGAGAACGATGACCTCCACGTGGAGCTGGTGTCCAGAGAGGGTGGATGGGTGGATGGATGGGTGGATGGATGGACTGGTGGATGGGTGGATGGATGGATGGGTGGATGGATGGATGGGTGGATGGATGGATGGATGGGTGGATGGGTGGGTGGATGGATGGGTGGATGGATGGATGGGTGGATGGATGGATGGATGGGTGGATGGGTGGGTGGATGGATGGGTGGGTGGATGGATGGGTGTGTGGATGGATGGATGGACTGGTGGATGGGTGGATGGATGGATGGGTGGATGGATGGATGGATGGGTGGATGGGTGGGTGGATGGATGGATGGGTGGGTGGGTGGATGGGTGGATGGATGGATGGATGGATGGATGGGTGGATGGGTGGATGGGTGGATGGATGGATGGATGGGTGGATGGGTGGATGGGTGGATGGGTGGATGGATGGATGGGTGGGTGGGTGGATGGGTGGATGGATGGACTGGTGGATGGATGGATGGATGGATGGATGGATGGATGGATGGATGGGTGGATGGATGGATGGATGGGTGGATGGGTGGATGGATGGATGGATGGGTGGGTGGGTGGATGGATGGACTGGTGGATGGATGGGTGGATGAATGGATGGATGGATGGATGGATGGGTGGGTGGATGGATGGATGGATGGGTGGATGGATGGATGGATGGGTGGATGGATGGATGGATGGGTGGATGGACGGGTGGATGGGTGGATGGGTGGATGGATGGATGGGTGGGTGGATGGATGGGTGGATGGATGGATGGGTGGATGGATGGATGGATGGGTGGATGGATGGATGGATGGGTGGATGGGTGGATGGGTGGATGGATGGATGGGTGGATGGATGGATGGATGGATGGGTGGATGGATGGATGGATGGGTGGATGAATGGATGGATGGATGGATGGGTGGATGGATGGATGGATGGGTGGATGAATGGATGGATGGGTGGATGGATGGGTGGATGGATGGATGGGTGGATGGGTGGATGGGTGGGTGCATGGATGGGTGAGTGGGTGGATGGGTGGATGGGTAGATAGATGGAAAGATGGATGGAAAGATGGGTGGGGATGGATGAACGGATACACACATTGATAGGTGATGGGTGGGCACATGAATGAGATGGTCCATCCATTGCTGGACCTGAAAGAACCCACTGATGTTACCAGAAACTAATGGAAGACCACTTTGCTCGTGCCCACAGGATCCTGGGTCGGCCTGTGGAATCGGGGAAATCAACATGTCAGTCCTGCTGGGCGCCGAGCCTGCTTCCTCCTCTAACATCAGATGGAGACTGAAACCCACAATCCCCAGGAATCAGCCGCGCCCTGGAACTGGCTCCACTCACCCAGCAATCCATGACTTTTCCCTCAGAGTCGAAGGACATTTAAGTTGTTCTCCGCGTCCATCTCCGCAGCCTGGGAATCGCTTCTGTCCAAGGTCAGTCTTCACTGGGCAACGGGAACGTGGGTGTAGCCGGGAGACGAGCTGCTGCCCCATCAACACTGTGCATCTGGACGCCTTTTGTGATGGTTAAACCGACCGGCACGTGGGCACCGTGACCTGGAGCCAAGGACGTGCCAATGTGCAGAGATTGCACGTCTTGCTAGAATCCTGGGTTCTCGATTTCAGTGCCCTGTCCTGGTTGTTGAGAGATGTTATACGGAAGATGGAGCCTCAACCTTGGAAGAATCTAGAAGCCACTATAGTCCAGAAACACGTTTGTCTGGGCTCCAGGGCTCAGCAGATCCTCTGAGTGACCTGGATTTTGAAGTGCTCCTAATGAGAGGGGCCAGACACGGCTGTACGGAGCGGGCAGTGGTGGTCAGCTAAACTAGAGGACCACAGAGGAAGCTCTCAACAAACACTGACTGCTGAGGAACATCAGTCACCATCAGAGGATCCCCAAGGGAGCAGACGAAACCCATCGATGTTGGGGTACATCTTCAGACGTAATGATGGCCATAACCACACCAACGGCTTCGTAGGGACATGCTGACGGTGACCAACATGTCCTACTAGCTGCAGGCTTGCTCCCTTTCCTTAACGAAGGACGGGGACATGAGCAGAGACCGCTACTGACTCCGCAGGGCAAGTTCGAGCTAAGGAATTCCAAGATGGTAGCAGCAGAGTATTAAACCAATATGGCGCCACGGCATGGAGATCCCCAAAATCTGTGAGTGGGACCTTGTGTGGAAACACGGTCTCTGCAGCGGTCATTAGTGAATGGTCCTAAGATAGGCTCCTCCTGGGTCAGGTGGCCCTCATGCAATGGCCGTGTCCTCCCAAGGGACAGAGGAGGGGACACAGACACAGAGAAGGGGCCACGTGGAGACGGAGGCAGAGACTGCAGTGAGGGGCCACCAGCCCAGGGCCACCTGGAGCCCAGGAGCTGGACAGGCAGGAGGAGCCTCCCTGGAGCCCATGCAGGGACATCTGGATTTCCACTTCTGCCCTCCAGGATGGGGCAGGATGAAATTCTGCTATTTTGAGCCACTCGGTTGGTGGCCATGATTTATGGGGACCACAGGAAACTGGTACATGCCATCATGGACACTAATCTGTTGGAACAAGCCCGAGTCATCTAACGGGGCCATCTCTCCCGTGTCCACTTGGAAACCTGTCCCCAGGAGGAGTGTAGGAGGCAGGACATAAGGGTGGCTAGAGTCCCAGCAATGTCCCTGTGGACTGATCCCATTGGGTCTCACCTGTGCCATCGCATGGCGGGTCCAGCTGGGATGAGGGAGGGCTGGTCACCCCATACCTAAGGCTTCTCCGTGCCTGGTGTCCTCTCTTGATGCTGTCCCACGGCCATGTCACACTCATTGTTGAGCCCGGGGCTCTGCTGTGAAGGGTCTCCAGATGGTTACTGTCCACGTGGGCCTCCTGGGCAGCGGGTGAAGAATGTTCTCTGGTTCTCTCTCCGGCGACTCCAGTGAAGTCCTCTCCATGGTGGTCGCTGCTGTGCCCAGCACAGAGAGGAGGTGGACATCTTCAGTGAATGTCCCAGGGAATCCAGGGGCACCTCATGTGTCTCCCGGCTTCATGACAGAATCCCAAGCATCTTGGTGATCTGCAAGGGAAGAACAGAGACAGCCTCCCCTCAGGTCCCCCTGTCCCCCGTCCTACGCTGGGTGAGGGGAGTCTCTGAGGGTCGACTCTCCGCCCGGGATGAGGGTTGGTTTCTCCCTGCAGGGCCAAGGGCTGACCCCGGGCTCCACAAGCTGGTTCTGTGGGCTGAATGTGGGGCCCTTCTTTTTGTAAATGTAGTTATTTTGGGCAGAACACACTATACTCACTTCTTTGATTCTGGTCTGAGGCTGTTTGGTGGTTCAGTGACAGAGGTGGGCACTGCAGTGGACACTATCAGCCCATAAATACCTGAAAAATGACCTGTGAAATCTCTCTCTGACATCTGTGTACCTATCATTCATCTATCTATCTATCCACCCATCCATCCATCCACCCACCCACCCATCCACCCGTCCATCCATCTACCCATGCATCTACCCATCCACCATCTTTCCATCCACCCACCCATCAATCCACCCGTCCATCCATCCATCCATCCATCCATCCACCCACCCATCCATCCACCCGTCCATCCACCCACCCATCCATCCACCCATCCATCCATCCACCCATCCATCCATCCGTCCACCTATCCATCCACCTGTCCATCCATCCATCCATCTGCCCGTCCATCCATCCATCCATCCATCCGTCCATCCACCCACCCACCCATCCATCCACCCATCCATCCGTCCACCCATCCATCCATCCATCCACCTATCCATCCACCTGTCTATCCATCCATCCACCCATCCACCCACCCATCCATCCACCATCTTTCCATCCACCCACCCACCCATCCACCCATCCATCCATCCACCCACCCATCCATCCATCCATCCATCCAACCATTCATCCACCTGTCCATCCATCCATCCATCCATCCATCCACCCATCCATCCGCCCGTCCATCCATCCACCCATCCATCCATCCATCCATCCACCCAACCATCCATCCGCCCGTCCATCCATCCATCCATCCATCCACCCACCTACGCACTCATCCATCCGCTCATCCATGCATCCATCATAAATTTATCACATATCCACCAATCAATCAATCATCTATCAATCTGTATCATTCACCTGTCTCTCCTCCATCCATCTCTATCCATATATCTACGTAGTCCATCCATCTAGTCAATCAACCACCTATTGATAGATCTACCATTTTTCTATCATCCGGTAGGTATCTCCCACCCTATCTGACCTACTACCTACACATGTCAATCCAAGTACCTTTCTCTCAAACACCCGTCTAAACTGTTATGGACCTACCTGTTTAGCTGACCAACTTTTCACCTGTCCACTCTCGACCCATCATCTCTCTATCATCTCTCTTCGTCTCCACCCACGTCTACTTGGTGGGTATCCATCTCTCTCCCTGCCTGTTCCTCTCCTTCCTATCTCACTCTCTGCCATGTGTCTATCCATTGGACATGTCTGTCAATCATCTATCAATCATCTATCTATCATGTGAACGTCCATCTACCTATGACCTCTCTCTTCCACCGACCTACCATCTATCGATCATCCTATCTCATCTATCCATCTGTACCTACCCATAGATACGTCTTTACGTTACTATCTTTGCCGATATATTTCTATTTTCTACCCCACTCCCTGTCCCCAAGCTATCTGACCTCTGTACCCACCATCTATATCTGTCCATGTACCTGGCTAGGTATCATCTTTCCATCACCGGTTTCAGTATCAATCAATCAATCAATCAACCACGTGTCAATCTACCATCTTTCTACCTCCACCCATCATCTCCATCAATCTCTCTACCATCTGTCTGTCGAACGGATCATCCATCTTTCAAAACTACAACTGTCCCCAGCATACAGATGTCCCCTGCTCTTCTAGAACACACGACGGATGAGCACCTGCGTGACCTAATGGCACTGTGACACCGTCTCACGCAGCACCTTGGAGCGCAACACTTCTGCATCTTTTCCGTCCAAGCGGGTAGGAAGAGGAGGATAGACTGGGGTGACCTTGGAGAGCACCATTCCCAGGGGTGGGCTTCCTGTGCAAGGTGCCACGTGTCGGAGGGCAGCTCCCTGTGGCTTGGGACAGGTCTCGGTGGCAGGGTCCTCTGACTCAACCCTGCCCATCTTCAGAGCTTTGCAACGCATGAACTTCCGCGAGGTCTGCCCTCCCCACGGGTCACCTGCAGACATCGAGGCCGAGTGTCGCCCATGCCTCCAGGTCAGAGCGGACAAAGCAAATATGAACCATTAGTGCAAGACGCACGTCCCCAGCACCAGGTTGGAGCCCGGGCGCTGGATGTGAGCAGAGCTGACTCAAGGTTGGGACCTCCATGGGACCTGTCACTCAAGGGGACAGACGGGAAGCTGAGCCACAGCCACTGACCTCTAACCAGGGTGCAGCCTCGCGGGAGGTCCATGGGGCCCTAGTGGACGCCTCTCGGGCATTTCCACGATGGGATGCAGGAACCTAGTTCCCATCCCAAAAGGAGGGAATCTCTACTGAGGATTGTTCCCAGCCACCAAGTGGCTTCTAGAAGCATCAGGCTCCAGGGAGCTCCTCCTGCCTGTCCAGCTCCTGGGCTCCAGGTGGCCCTGGGCTGGTGGCCCCTCACTCCAGTCTCTGCCTCTGTCCACACGGGGTCCTCCTCCTCTTCTGTAGTGACGATTCTGGTTGATTCTGGTGATGACATGGGGCACCTTTGGGAGGACTCCAGAGTGACCTTCTCATCTCGGAATTCTTGACCATGGCTGCAGAGATCCTGTTGCCAAGAGGGTCACCATTCTGGGGACCAGGACAGGGACATTTCTTCTCGGGGCTACCGGTCATTTCGTGAGCGATCCTTTGGAATGAAAATCCCACCAGGTGCTTAGTCCCAGGACATGGAGAGCAGGATTCAGGATCCTGGAGGGACAACGGGCAGCACCTGTAGGTTCAGGAGGAATGTCCAGCAGGCGTGGGTCAGCGCAGACACCGAGGGACAAACATCTAGGGCTCAGCTGGGCACTGGACATGGTGATCATTATTCTAGAAGCACAGACTGAGGGACAGTCCAAGACCTGAAGGTGCTACCAGGAGAGTGGGGTGGACATGCTCCCAGATGACCTCTATGATGAGACAGGTCCACCAGGGGCGGCCACCTGTGCATCCTGCATGGTGAATGGGCAGCCAGGCACCCCCCCTGCATGACCTGTCCCAGAGAATCCCACAGTGACCTTCTCCTGGCCCGTCCTTGACCTGTCCCACAGAATCCCAAGGTGACCCCAACCAGACCCTGTGCATTCCTGTCCTACTAATCGCATCCTGACACCATCCCAGCCCTGTACTCATCCCTTCCCCGTGGAATTCCCTGGTGACACCAGCCAGACCCTGTCCCTGTCCCCAGTTCTCCCGAATGCCCACTTGGCCAGCTCACGTCCTCCATGGGACTGGTCTCAGGGTCCCATGGTACCCGTGGCCCGAGCCTCGGTCGAAGGAGGTTGACCAGATGGTGAGGTGGCCCCATGAGACGCGTCCGTCATCCTGAAGGGGATGTCACCTCCCTCCACATCTGAGACCCCTGATTCCAGGAGATTATCTTGGAGTGTGACCTGGTGACTTGGAGAAGGGACACAGAGTCCCCGCCACACCACCAGGTTGCAGGCGGCACACGGTCCCCTTAAAGGAGTGTCGTCACTGGGTCCTCAAAACCAGTCCTCGGTCCCCGTGGGCCAAGCACGCACAACTGCACACGGAGGTGGAAGGATTTAATGACCCGTGGCACCCGTGACAATTTGGCACTTGGGCATCCCAGGACTTAAGGCTGAGGACCACCAACGAGTGGTCACCTCCAGTGTCCCTTTGGGTGGCGGAGATCCTACAAAGCCGGGCCGCAGAGCCCCAGGGCCACAGCTATCTCAAGATGGCGCCGGGGCTCCCGTCGGGGAGGCCGGTCAGCTGACAGCTTGTGGCCCACAGCTGTTGCTGCAGCTTCTGGTCGTAGGTGACCTGCAGGGACCTGGCCTCCTTCTCGTTGTACAAGTAGCGGCCACCAACTCCTTCCAGGTCCGGGGTGACCGCCGCGTAGACGGTGGTCCACGCTCCTTCCTCAGGTGTCTGTGGGCAGGAGGGAAGATGGCGGAGAAGTCAGTGTCCAGGGGAGAGGATATGGGGTTGCTGGGACCCACGCAGAGCTCTGGAGTCACCAGAACGTGGTCACCAGGGCCGGAGCTCCCTCCTCCTGCTTTCAGAAGTGGCATAGGTTATATCACAAGAGGTAGGGTGGGATGGAGGAGGTGGTAAGAACAGTGGGTTATAACAGTGTAACCTACTCAGTGGATTAATCCACTTGGATGGACTCACTGGGTGGTGACTGCAGCAGGTGGGGTGTGGCTGGAGGAGGGGGTCCCTGGGCTGTGCCTTTGGGGTCTCTGTCCTGTCCCTGGTGACAGAGCTCTCTCTGCCCCCTGGTGCCCTGTCCTGAGCTGCTCTCCTCCTCCAGGCCCTGCCGCCATCTTGTTCTGCCTCCCCTTGGGCCAGAGCCATGGAGTCGGCCACTATGGACTGAGCCTTGGAAAACCCTGCAGACTTCAGTGTGGAGATCGGATGGGGTTTCCCGCGAGGTGACACTGTCCCCCACGTCCCTCCACCACAGCTCGAGGGGGTCAGTGGGCACTGGAGCAACCCGTTCCTGCATCTGGAATTCCCTCACCCTGCTCTGGACACGTCTCCGCACACTGCACTCGCCCGCAATCGACGGTGCTGAAACTGACGCAGAGTGGACCCGCCTCCCCAGGACCGAGGATGAGACTCGCATTCTGTGTCCCCATCAAGCCCCAGTCCTGCAATTGGTGACTGTGCACGGGGAGCACTGAGCCTCACTTTTCCTTGACTGTCCCCACGTACAATGCCAATCACCAGGGACCCCTGGTCACATGGGCTCCTGATGAATGGCTTCCAATTTAGACGAATATTTTCCTTGGGTTTTGTGAATTTCTAGGAAGAGTCATGGAAGTCAATGGAGCCCTGAGCTTATTGTTCTGGTTCTATAATAAAAGATATTGATCGAGAAGAAGAGGATCAGGAAGAGACTCTTAGGGCAACGTCCAGAGGACCCCAAATGAGCAGCTTTGGAGCCTCTCCTCGTGCCTCCCAGACGTGGATACGCTCACCACAGGGCAAGTACCCCAAGCTCTGGTGTGACTGGCCGAATGTGTGTGGGTCCCCCCAAATTCCCATGTGGAATCCTGACCCCAAAGTGCTGGTGTTGGGAGACGGGGCTCTGGGAGGTGCTCACTCATGAGGGTGCAGCCCTCACCACAAAATATAAACCCCAAAGACACAGCCCAGTGACCCACCTCCTCTGGCCACACCCCACCTGCCCATAGTCACCACCCGGTTAATCCATCCAAGTGGATTAATCCACTGTCTAGGTCACACCTCTCACATCCCAGTCATTTCAACTCTGAATGTTCTTGCATTTTCTGACACATGAGCTTTTAGGGGACACCTCACACCTAACCCAGGCACTGAGTCCAGCACCTCTAAATCCAATATGGCGCCACTTCCCCCACCGCACCCTGGAGGCAGAGGCCATAGTGGGCTGTTCCGGGTCCCTGCCGAGACCGTGGCTCCCAACCCACAGGCTTCTCCTTCTCGCTGGTGTCTGGGACGTTGGCTGGGGACAGTTTATATTCAGCACCGAGTCCCCTCTGCAAACAGACCCTGCAGGTAGCTCCCGGGGTGAGGTGACGGGAAAATCATGCGTCACCCACAACGTGGGTTCCCAGCCCTCGCCACAGAGCATCCGGCCTGTGTCCTGCTGGGGTAGCAACGTCCTTCCAGCCACGGAGTCCCTCTGTTCTGTGCCTGCAGGCCACCTTTCCTCCAAGAGGTGGGCCGGTGGCCGCCCTCGATGGACACACTTGACCCTGGATCATCCTCCTCCTCCTCCTCCTCCTCCTCCATCTCCTCCTCCTCCTTCTCCTCCTCCATCTCCTCCTCCTCCTCTTCCTCCTCCTCCATCTCCTCCTCCTCCTCCTCCTCCATTTCCTCCTCCTCCTCCATCTCCTCCTCCTCCTCCATCTCCTCCTCCTCCTCCTCCTCCTCTTCCTCCTCCTCCTCCATCATCTCCTCCTCCTCCTCCTCCTCCATTTCCTCCTCCTCCTCCATCTCCTCCTCCTCCTCCTCCTCTTCATCCTCCTCCTCCTCCATCTCCTCCTCCTCCACCTGCTCCTCCTCCTTCATCTCCTCCTCCTCCTCCATCTCCTCCTCTTCCTTCTCCTCCTCCATCTCCTCCTCCAACTCCTCCTCCTCTATCTCCTCCTCCTCCTCCTCCATCTCCTCCTCCTCCTCCTCCTCCTCCATCTCCTCCTCCTGCTTCTCCTCCTCCATCTCCTCCTCCTCTATCTCCTCCTCCTCCATTTCCTCCTCCTCCTCCATGTCCTCCTCCTCCTCCTCTTCCTCCTCCTCCTCCTCCTCTTCCTCCTCCTCCTCCCTCTCCTCCTCCTCCTCCTCCATCTCCTCCTCCTCCTCCTCCTCTTCATCCTCCTCCTCCTCCATCTCCTCCTCCTCCACCTGCTCCTCCTCCTTCATCTCCTCCTCCTCCTCCATCTCCTCCTCTTCCTTCTCCTCCTCCATCTCCTCCTCCAACTCCTCCTCCTCCTCCTCCATCTCCTCCTCCTCCTCCTCCTCCATCTCCTCCTCCTCCTCCATCTCCTCCTCCTCCTCCTCCTCCTCCTCCTCCATCTCCTCCAACTCCTCCTCCATCTCCTCCTCCTCCTCCTCCTCCTCCATCTCCTCCTCCTCCTCCATCTCCTCCTCCTCCTCCTCCATTTCCTCCTCCATCTCCTCCTCCTCCATCTCCATCTCCTCCTCCTCCTCCATCTCCTCCTCCTCCATCTCCTCCTCCTCCTCCTCCATCTCCTCCTCCATCTCCTCCTCCTCCATCTCCTTCTCCACATCTCCTTCTCCACCATCTACTCCTCCTCCATCTCCTCCTCCTCCTCCATCTCCTCCTCCATCTCCTCCTCCTCCTCCATCTCCTCCTCCTCCATCTCCTCCTCCTCCATCTCCTCCTCCTCCTCCATCTCCTCCTCCTCCTCCTCCATCTCCTCCTCCTCCTCCTCCATCTCCTCCTCCTCCTCCTCCTCCTCCTCCATCTCCTCCTCCTCCATCTCCTCCTCCTCCTCCATCTCCTCCTCCTCCTCCTCCTCCATTTCCTCCTCCTCCTCCATCTCCTCCTCCTCCTCCATCTCCTCCTCCTCCTCCTCCTCCTCTTCCTCCTCTTCCTCCTCCTCCTCCTCCTCCTCGTCCTCCTCTTAGAGCTCAGAGCGCAGCCAGCGCAGACCCCAGGGGTCCCAGGACTTGGAAGAGTCCCTTGCAGCTGGCTGTGATATTGTGCAGGGGGACCCGCAGCGTTCAGGGACACCCGGGGGCGGGAGGCAGGATTAATCAAGCAGTGGACTCTGACCTTGCCTTTTGCGTTGGTGACCACAGGTGGCCCAGCCCCACCCCGGGGGTCTCACCTTGAAGAGGAGCCAGCCGAGGACCCTCTTGACCAGACGTGTGCCCCAGAAGACGTGCCTGTAGAGGTCCGTGTTGACCACCCCGGGGTCCACCACGTTGGCGGTCACGTGGCTCCCCTGGGCGGCCAGCAGCCGCTGGAGCCGGTAGGTGAAGAGGACCAGGGCCAGTTTGCTCTGCGCGTAGGCTCCGTGCGGCGAGTAGCACCCGCGGCTGCAGAGGCCACGGAGAAGACCGAGTCAGAGGACATGGTGCTGAGTGCGAATTCCCCAGCAGCCCATGCCCTGCCCACGTGGACACTGAGCAGGTGCACGCCCAGCTGAAGGGCAGCCCAGGGGTCATGGGGACAAATGAGCAGGCCACCAAGAGGTGGCCCAGCAACAGACCTGGCTTATCATTAGAATTATCTTTTTTTTTTTTTTTGCAAACAACCAACAACCTCAAGATGAGGTTTTTGTAGCAACTACTACAGCTCAGCCATCCCGGCTTCCCAGTCCAGGAGGGAAAGCCTGAGAAACCTCGTTTCCTAATCATTTACAGAAGCCAGGCGCGGTGGCACATGGCTGTCCTCCCAGCGGCTTGGGAGGCTGAGGCACGAGGATTGCAAGGTGGAGGCCAGCCTCAGCAACTTAGCGAGGTGCTTAGCAACTCAGTGAGACCCTGTCTCTAAATAAAATGCAAAATAGGGCTGCGGACGGGGGCTCAGGGGTCGAGTGCCCCTGGGTTCAATCCCAGGTGCCCTAAAAACAAAAAAAAAGTGGTCATTCACAGACATTTCTCAGGCCTAATTAAGCCCCAGGACCTTGGCTCTGTCCTCTGCACATACGAGAGGTCAGCTGGGCCTGTCTGTGCATGCCCGTCTGGATTTGAAACTGGAGAGGATTTGATTGGGTGTGCCCACGTGGAAATCCGAGATGGTCTGGGGGTAAAATGTGCCATTTAGTCACGGTATGGGTCAGCCATCCGTCGCTGTGACAAAAATCCCTGAGATCACGTACAAGGAGGGAAGGTTTATTTATGCTGGTTCATGGTTTCAGACAAAATCGCTTGGTCCTCTGGGTTGGGCTTGTGGTGAGGGGCAAAGGGGGGTGGACACAGGACTCAATTTATGCTGCTCAGGACGTAAAAAGAGAGAGAGAGAAGAAGAGTCTGGGGTCCCAGAATTCTCCTCAAGGCCACGCCCCCAAAGACCTAACTTCCTCTCACTAGGCTCCGCCTCCTAAAGGGTCCCCTACCTTCCAACACCACCACGTTGGGGAACCAGCCTCACAACACAAGCTTTTGGGGGCCCTCAGATCTGGACTATCCCACAGAGAGGGCCCTGCTCAACAAAGACAAAATATGGACCCCAAAGTGACCCGCCTCCTGCAGTCACACCATGCCGATCTGCAATGAATACCGGGTTAATCCATGCAAGTGGATTAATCCATTCAAGCGGATTCAAGTGCTGAAGCCCAAGGAAAGCAAGAAAGGTAACGGGGCGGGGGGGTGTGTGTCATCAGGACATGAATCCATTTCAGGGCAAATCCACCAGCCCGATCTGAGGTGTAGCCTGGGCTCCGTTGGATTCCTGATGGAAAATAACTCGCAGGTCCCCTGCCTTACAGGCAGACAGGGACTGGTCAGCAAAGGGCCATGAGGATGGCCACGGGCTGGTGCTAAAAAGGGAAAAATCACATCTCAGCATAAATGATTCGGGAGGATGAGGTGGAGGGTGGTTAGGGTTGCAGACTGTGCAATTCAGAGAAATAGGGCAGGATGGACCTCCCCGGTCCCAGGAAGCCCTCCAATTATTCCCCTGGTGGGGAGAAAAGCCACCAGGACACAGGACACATGCTGGGGGAGGGGGACAGGGGGGACAGGCACCTCCTGCTGCTGGGGTCATTTCCATATCATCTCAAGCCACTGGCTCTAAATCACAGGGTTGGCTGGGGGCGAGGGGGAGGGTTCCTGGATCCTTTAAAAAGCAGAAAGTGACTCATAAAAGGCAGGTTTGTGCCGGGGAGAGGGACGGGCTCTGCAATTATGTGTGTTTGTCACGGTGGGACGGCCACGGCAGGAACAGAAGGTCTTCAAATGCCACATCACATCACAGCGTGCGCCGAGCTGTCTTGGAGACAGGGACCCAAGGGGACAATTAATTCCAGGAGACAGTCCCCCGGGGGGTCTGGGAGGAGCAGGGTCAGAGCACAAGGGGGAAGGGAGAGGAGGAGGAGGAGGAGGCGCAGGTCCCCAGGAGCCCCGCAAGTGAAGCCCCAGGAGGAGGCGGGGACCGACGGGAGGCCCCGCCCCCAGGCTCAGCCCCAAGGCCCGCCCACTCTGCCCGGCTGTCAATCAACCGCCTCTACAGCCGCAGCCTCAGCAACAGGGTTTCGAATCCCAGGGAGCCCCCCCGCCCCCGTTCAGGGCCGTTGCTCCATGAAAATATCACTTTGAAGCCCTGAGGGGGGACAGACGGGTGCAGATGGTGGACACGAGGTCCAGGGGACAGCTCTATCACTGACCCCCGGTGCTGACCCCACAGCTTCCTTCCCAGAAGCCCTGCACCTGCAGCCTTGCCTGGCCTCCGGGCACAGCCTCCACCACCTTCCTCACACACCACCTGTGACCTGCAGGGGACATGCAGGCGGGAAGGCATGTCCCTGAGAGGAGCCAGGTGACCCTGAAGGGGGGACTTCTGGGACCCTGACACAGACCAGGTCCCGGGACCCAGGGGGACGAGGATCCTTCCTCCAACCAGATAGGTTCTGTCTCCAGGTTGCTTAGGGCCTCGCTAAATCGCTGAGGCTGGCCTCCAACTTGGGATCCTCCTGCCTCAGCCTCCGCAGCCGCTGGGACGCCAGGCGTGGCCCCGGCACCTGCTGCGTGTGCGAGCGTCCCAGACCTCCCCCTTGCGGGGAGGAGGAAGGAGCACAATGTCCATCCGCCCAGCACAGCCACGCCCCCCACCCACGTTCCGCGCAGGACCCTTTTAGGCTGCAGAAGTCCCGTGAAGTCATTTTTGCACACGACGCACTCAAATCTGAGGACCCTACAGGCTCTGCATACGGGGCGCGGTGCCTGGCCCTGTGTGGCCCCGGGGGACCCCCGAGCAGCCTGGGGGCTCAGAAATGCTGCCTGCATCTGAGCACAGGGACCAGCACAGAGAAGCCCATGACGCAGCCCAGCGCAGCCCAGCAAAGCCCTGCCCGGTGCGGCCACTGACCAGGCGGAACCCACCTGCCCTGAAGGTCATCCAGGTTGAGCTCCCCGACGTAATGGGTGGCCGAGGACACGGTGACCACCCTGGCGCTGCAGCCCGGGGAGCCCGACTCCTTCAGCGTGTCCAGCAGGAGGTTGGTCAGCAGGAAGTGGCCCAGGTAGTTGACCCCCAAGTGCTCCTCGAAGCCGTCCTTGGTCTGCCGCTGGGGGACCATCATCACGCCAGCTGGGGGGACAAGGATTCCGGGGGACAGTCAGATGGACCGAGTGGCCCTTGGATGCTGGGGACTAGCCACGAAGTCTGTGCCTTCGTGTGTGGGTTTGGAACAAGGGACACTTTTTGCTTTTGGGGGGATTGGGGGATGGAACCCAGGGGTGCTGACTGGCTGAGCCGTGTCCCCAGCCCTTTTTATTTTTTATTTTTATTTAGCGACAGCGTCTCCCGGAGTAGCTGAGGGCCTCATTCAGTTGCTGAGGCCGGCCTCCAACGTGCCATCCTCCTGCCTCAGCCTCCCGAGTGGCCTTTGCTGAACACACGATAAATACGGAGCCAGTTCTCCGCGAGGTGCACGATGCATGATTCTGGCATTTGATAAATGACCAAGGGAACTGACCCGGCCGCATCCAGCAGAGCCGGGAAGAGAAAACGGGGGTCTGTAAATATAAAATGCCACCCAAAGGGGACTCCAGCTCCCGTGTGATCTGTTTAGTGTTTGCCAATGTTCGATTGTTTTCTGGAGGCATTAAAAAGACTCAAAAATAGAAAAATCTGGGTTCTGGGAGGCTCTTAGAAGTCTACTTCCAAGTGCCGGAGGCTGTGGTGCACACTTCTAATGCCGGGGGCATCGGAGGCTGAGGCAGGAGGATCGCAAGTTGGAGGCCAGCCTCAGCAACTTAGAAAGGACCTAAGCAACAAATAGAGGTCCCCAGGCCTCACTGCGGGGCCAGGTGTGCAGAACCCAAGAGAGAGCCACCCGTGGGCATCTGGGGACCCCACAGGACTGGTCCCACAGCAGCATCGTTACGATGTCATGAGATTTGGGATCCAACTCCTAGTGGGTCCCCAGGCACCACACAGCCCCAGAGGACGCGTCTAAACATCCAGCACACCTGACGCCGGGGCTGCAAAGGACACTGGGGACATGGAGCCCTGACGTTCAACAGGCAACCAGCCTCGGGGAAACTTTCCGGCACCCACAGGGAGGTGCCGGCCATCACGTCAGCATCCACCTGGATGCGACTTACCGTTGTTCACCAGGACGTGCAGCGGGACGTTCTTCATCTTGAACTTGTGGACGAACTGCCGGATGGATGTCATGGAGCCCAGGTCACAGTACAAAAACTCGACTGCAGGGGAACAGAGACACGGGGTTACCGCCAGCCTGCGTACCAGGCTCATTTCCATACAGGTTGGCCTCTCTCCCATTCGGAATCAGCCCTGGGTCAGGAAAAGTCACGAACAGTGAGACAGCCATGTCCCAAGGTGACCCCCAGCGAGGGACACCCTCTTCCTGAGCGTGGGAGAGAGAGGTGGGTTTGCCTGTGATTGACAGGTTGTGGACTGCACCATCTTGTGTCCAGGACGTGAGCGTTCGAGGATTTGGGTACCCCCAGGAGGACGGGGGACCAATCTGTGGGGACAGATGCCGAGGGTCGATGTAAGTCTTTAAACTGGGAGACGAAAGAAGAGGAGACTGGGTTCTGAGTGGACCCCAAGAGAAGAGTCTTAGGCCTGGTGGGGAGGGGCAGGGAATGGCCTCCTATTTGGGAGAAGTTTAAGGGAAAACTGAAAATTGACGCTGATGTTTCCGGGAGGGTCACATAAGGTGCAAGAGATTCTCCACACTCAGCGTGGAGAGCTGTGCACCCGTCGGTCCCGTCTGTGAAGACACGGAACACGCTAGGGCACCTCCCGGGACATTTCTTATTGCAAAAAGGACATCACCCGCCGATTCGCTGACGCACGTTGCTTTCGACCAACTTTTCCCTTAAAGGCAAGCAACGGGGCTGGGGACAGGTCCCCGGTTTGCATGCTGTAGGGACAGGAGCCATTTTTAATTAAATTAATTAAATTTTAATAAATTTTAAGAGATGCGTGGAGACGCAGGACACAGGGCACTCTCGCCACTTTGCGGGTCTCTAGAGCTGGGGATACAAGGATCGGTGGACCCACCCGTGCGGCCCCCAGAGGGCAAAGCGACTGGCTTTTCAACCTCTGGCAACAGTGTTTCCCCGGGGCAGAGTTTTATACCCAGCTAGAGTGGCCGGCGCCACCTTCCAGGTGGAGAAATCTCACGTCCGGCTCTGCAGCCGGGAGTGACAGGGTGACCTGTGTGTCCGGGTGCCCAGGAAGGGACAGGGGGAGGGGAGGGCTGGAGGGGGTTTTGCATAATATATTAATGAGGCTAAAAAATGCAAATGCACAAATCGGAAAGAGGACCCCAAGAAGAACGTTCTGTAATGGCAGTTTCCCGGTGCTTATTGCCGCTAGGCTAAATCCACTTAAGAAAAAAACCTCCAGGAAAGAATATATTTTTTTTTTTTCTGAGAAAATACTGATTAGCCAAAAAAATCTAATCAAAGAAACCGGTTCTAATCAGACCCACAGACATAAGAGGAAATAGCAAAAAATTAGTAAGAAAGACTAGCATTCAGGAAAGGGGGCAGGGGGCCCATGGGGTCTCGCAGATTCCTTCAGGTTTTGCAAGAAGAGCTGTGTCCCAAGAGGCAGAGGAGGGGACGCAGATCTCAGCGCCCCGTCCTGACGTCCATTTCCTATACCGTCTGATGAATGTCCCCAGCGTGTCCTTGACGGTCGGTCGTCAGCACTCGGCTGCTGCAGCGTTCAAAAGAGCTGGCTGACAGACGGTGGCACGTTCCTTCCCCACGGCGATGGTGAAGCGCGAGAGGTGGCACACGCACCAAGTGTCCCGATGGGGTCGGGATGTGACACGTGACTCTCTCAACCAGACATCCGAGTTCTTCTCAGTAAACACGAACGACGAAGTGACGTCGAGGACAACAAGAACAAACCCCCAAGACAAATTAAGAAACGAGGGTAAGGAACTCAGGGGTCAGCTCCGCGGCAGAGCACTGGCCCTTGCACGGGTCTGCGTTGGTCTCCGAGCACCGTCACGGTCACCCCTGGGACACCGACCCCTAAGGACGAGAGGATCCCGGCAGCTCAAGGGTGGGAGGGTTTCATCCCCTGGTCTGGGAGACACTTGTGCTTCGGGGTCCATGGAGACGATGGACTCATGGTGGACAGCGGGTGGGCGGCCACTCCCGCCTCCAAACTAGGTCCTGTGCCCAGGTTTGGGGATTCAATGTGGAATTGAGTTTGGAGAGAACCAGCACCAAATCTGCTACGACTGGACGCAGCGCCCTCCGCACCAGGTCCTGGGTCCAGAGGTGGACAGGACCCGCCTCTTACCATGGCGTCCAGCCCCCTCCAGGGCCCCAGGGGGCTCCTCCTGCCTGTCCAGCTCCTGGGCTCCAGGTGGCCCTGGGCTGGTGGCCCCTCACTCCAGTCTCTGCCTCCGTCTCCACGGGGCTCCTCCTCTGGGTCTGTGTCCCCTCCTCTGTCTCTGGGGAGGACACGGCCATGGCACGAGGGCCCCCTGCCCCAGGAGGAGCCCATCCTCCACATGAGATTCCCACCCGAGGTCCCATCAAGGTCAAGCACGTCCAGCAGCACGGGATTCCTTAGACCGTCACCATCCTCCAAAGTGACGGCGTGGTGACCAGAGGTGGCTCAGGGCCCCGCATCCCAGATGAGAAAGCTCAGACTCTAAACAGGAGCTTAGTGACCCGTTGGGTCAGAGCCTTGCCCTGGTCACCTCACTGTGTCGTCAAAGCGCAACCCGCAACGGCATCTCGGAGTCACCTTTACCGGGCCATCGTCACCCTGGACCTTCACCGGATGTCCCAGGGCTGGTTCTATTTGTGGCCCCTGGGCGGGAGGTCACCGTGGCTGGTGCTGACCCGCGAGCCCATCTGGCTGGCTTCTCTCTGCCTTTGGGGACAGTGTGGCCTTCCTTCCAAGTCCCCGAGCACAAAAATAGCTCCCAGGTCCACTCAGCAGCTGAGAAGCACAGGAGCCGTTCACGTCCTTCCCTGGGAACTCACGGACGCCCGGGCTGGACCCAGAAGGGACGCTGCCTCCCACCTGGCCCTGGGGCTCCATGTGCCAGATCAGCTCCTCCCCATGTCCAGCCTGATGGCCGCCCGGCAGATGGAGGACGTCCCTCTAGGACTATCCCACGAGCCCACTTCTTTCCATAGACACACGTTTAAGAAATCTGTCCCTCTAGGGGACAGTGACCCATGCACACGGACCCTGCTTCCCTGGAACATCTTTCTGCAAAATCCCTCATTTCCTGACATCGCTGTCCCTTAGGACATTGGGTCAGAGGGAGGTGACTGGGAAGAGTGAATCCTCCTGAGATGGGAACGTCCTTTGCCTTCTGCAGAGTGGACGGCTGTCCAGTCCCTCTGCGTAAAGGACACAATGAGCCATCGAGGATCCAACGCGTGCCCTCCGGGTCCTCGGCGAGCGCCCACCATCTTGTGGGCAAACGGGTGACTTTTCCACCACCCGGTTGTCCTGCCTGAGCTGCCCGCTGCCTGGCAACTGCTGTCAAAGCGTCTCCCCGAAATAGCACAAGTCCCTCCGTCCTCCTCTGGTGACCTCCTCCAGCTGCTCGTCACCCTCAGCCTAAGTCATCCGAAAGGACATCCACCCCCGAGTCTAACCCCTTTGTCACTTCTTCCCGGGGGCAGGCAGAGTCACACAGCGTCGTCCCAGTACCAGTGTCTCTGTGGCATATCACGGGCTCAAGGGCAGCCCCTGACCCCAGGTGGACTGTGAGCTGCCCATGGGGTCCTCTGTCCTCGCGGACCATTGTTCTGGTCAACGGGTGACCCCTCCTGCTTCCCCAGCTTCTCCAAGGGAGCGAGGGTCCCCACCGGTCCCTGCAGCTGAAGGATCTCGGAGTCGCACCTGCTGGAGATGCCCCTGCTCTGGTGGAGGTCGGCTTTGGGCACAGGCTGTGTAGACGGTGGCTGGATCATGCAGGTGATGGGGGGGGTGGAAAGGGATTATTCGGGTCCCTGTGAGACCCCGGCTGTGAGCAGACGCACCAAGGGGTGCTCAGCAGGGCAAAGCGGCATCCAGTGCCCTGCTCTCGACCTTCCTGAACTTCGAGCTAAAAAAAACCCATTTTCTCTCCACATGAAGGGGTCTCGGGTATCTTATTGTAGCAACGGAAGGTGGACAAAGGGACCCACCAATTCCAAGCCCAATATCAGGCATGGAACCAAGTCCAGGTCCACCCAGAAAAGACGGAGAGGAGGTCATCAGAAGGACGGGGAATGGGCATCCTGGGGGCTTGGCTCTCCGGTCCTGGAAGTGGACACGGAGCCAGGGCGGGAGCTGACCTGCACGCAAGGGCAATGTCGCCCACCTTCTGGTTCCACGTGGGGTCAGTCCCTTGGGTTCTGACGCCCGCTGGGGATGGGCGGGTCTGACTATTCATTTTCGTTCACCGAAAAAAGTGGAGGCAGCCTCAGAAAAATGGCAGCCAGAGGACCTCCCAAATTTTAAAAAAAGGAGCCGGCAGATGTTGTGTGGGAAGAGGCACAGCCCAGATGGGGATCCAGCACGAGAAGGGGCCAGATGTCACCCACGGTATAATTTTCTCCCCCCTCGCGAAGAGAGAAAAGCAAGAGCCCTCGCAGGTACATTCTCACACAGCGAGGTGTCAGGAGAGGGGAGGCGACGGGAAAGGTGTCATCTGCAGGGACGTCTCAGTGCGGGGAAGAGAACAGGGCGCTGTCACCAGGCTCTCGAATGCTTCCAGCGGCATCCAGAAAAATCAGATACTTGGGTATCTCTCCCAAGGACACGAAATCCAACGATGAAGACACATCTGTAGTCCCCAGTCTGCGGCTGCGCTATTGCAGATGGCCAGGACATGGACGGACACTCAGCCCGTGTCCGTCACTGGATGAGTGGATAAAGACAAGGGGGTACGAATACCCAGGGGACCACGACTGAAGTTGATCTGGGGCTTGTGGATTCAGAGGTTCAGTCCCTGGTGGCCGACTCCATGGCTCTGGCCCAAGGGGAGCAGAACAAGATGGCGGCAGGGCCTGGAGGAGGAGAGCAGCTCAGGACAGGGCACCAGGGAGCAGAGAGAGCTCTGCTCACCAGGGACAGGACAGAGACCCCAAAGGCACAGCCCAGGGACCTCCTCCTCCAGCCACCCCCCACCTGCTGCAGTCACCACCCAGTGAGTCCACTCAAGTGGATTAATCCACTTATTAGTCTACACCTCTCGCAACCCAATCATTTCACCTCTGAATGTTCCTGCACCATCTCACACATGAGCATTTAGAGGAGGAAAAGTTGATTTGGGCTCCTGGTGTTCGAGGTTCAGTCCCTGGTGGCCGACTCCCTGGCTCTGGCCCAAGGGGAGCAGAACAAGATGGCGGCAGGGCCTGGAGGAGGAGAGCAGCTCAGGACAGGGCACCAGGGAGCAGACAGAGCTCTGCTCACCAGGGACAGGACAGAGACCCCAAAGGCGCAGCCCAGGGACCCCCTCCTCCAGCCACACCCCACCTGCTGCAGTTACCACCCAGTGAGTCCATCCAAGTGGATTAATCCACTTATTAGTCTACACCTCTCCTAACCCACTCATTTCACCTGTGAGCTTTCTCGCATGGTGTCACATGTGAACCCTGATGGGACACCTCGTATCTACACCCTAACATGGATGATCTGAAATAATCAAACTCACAGAAGCAGAACCATATTTGTCAGAGACCAGGAGGAGAGAAGCCAGGTGATAAATAGGTACTCAGTTAAGCAAGATGGAGAATTTGAAAGACCCTCTGCACACCATTCCTAGGTTGACCGTGGCGCGGTGAGCCTGACGTTTTTTCCCTGTTGAGTGTTGCTAACAAGATAAAATAGAGTCTAACAGAACAGGAGAGGTCAAAGGAGGTCCCGTCAGCACTCAAGCACACCACGCAACTCGAGCGAAGGCTGGTCACCGTTCCTTATCTGCTTTGACGAGGACACAGGGACGCTTGCTCGGCAGTATCCGTTACTGAAAATATCTTCCCGCTCCTATCAGGTGCCTTGACAGCTAGCGAGGCTGAGCCTGTGGGTGTCCCTGTGGATGGAGGGAGCAGCAGACACCACAAAACTTGTAGTGGGAAAAAAACACCATTCGCATCCTTTGAGTAACGGGATCTAAGATGGCAGCCACAGCACGCTTGGACCATTTGGGACTACTGGGCACACAGCCTTACAATGGAATGTGGCCCCAAATACCTCGAAATACTTCCATTTGTTAACATTTTTAACCAGAATTAGGAGGCATGGTGTTGATGATTCTCATAGAATGGGTGGACCCAAGAGCCATATCAGTACCATCAAAATGGCGGAACTGAGTTACATCAGCGCTGTCCTGCGAGAGTAGGACACCCGATGACATCTAATGAAAACAAGGAGCTCTCTGTGAAGGACAGGATGACAATAATTAATCCAGAAAGAAAAGAAATACAGACCCTTTCCATGCCCCACTCCCATTCAATAGAAGCACAGTGGTAAACTGATGTCTCCTAGACCTCAGAACGCTAGAGCAGATCATCAGAAGGACAGGAAGTGCTTCTCAAAATACTCTTCAAGATACTAGAGAAGATCATCAGAAGGACGGGAAATTGCCACCCGAGTATCTTGTCACCCCAGTGTCCTGTCCAAGAGAATGTCATCCAGTGGATCTATTTGTCTATTCCGTGTTGCTATAACACAATACCTGAAGACGAGTACTCATAAAGGAAAAAGGGTTCTTAGCTCATAGTTCTGAAGGTCCCTGAGCACCCACTCACCTCTGGTGAGGACCTACTGGCTACACCACTACATGGCAGATGGCATCGTGGTAGGGAATGACCACAGAGAGTGACAAAAGGCCCTAATTATGTCTCCTGGGCTCCATCCCTTAAGGATTCCACCACGGGTCCATGGATCATCACGTCTGCAGCTCATAAAACACACCAACCCACCACCCAACCCCATCGGTGGGTGTCATGCACCAGTCAGCTTCGTATCATTGTACCCAAGACACATGAAGAGAACTTTGAGGAGGACAGGTCCCATTTTGGCTCTACGCCTGAGGTGACGCTGAACATCATGGCAGAAGGGCTTGGGGGAGGAAAGCTGCTCAGCTCTTGGTAGCCAGAAAGTCGAGGGCGGACAGAAAGAGGGGAGAGAGAGAGAAGCCAGGGACATGATATAGTCTCCCAAAAAGCCAGGGACAAGATATAGTCCCTAAGAGCATGTTCCCAGTGACCTACTTCCTCCAACTATAACCCACCTGCCTCTGGTTTCCACCTTCTCCCGGTTGTGCATTCGAATTCTGAACCCATCAAACACACTGAGGAGGGCACCGTCCAATCATGTCACCTCTGAGCTTTCCTGGGCTGCCTAACCCGGGAACTCTTTGGAGGACACCCAAAATGCCAACCATAACCGGGACCCAGTGTTGGGGATACGTAGCGTGAGTCGTCCTTGTTCCAAACCCTGAAGAGAAAAGCCATGCGACCTGAGCTGTCATCCTTCCGAGAAATGTGACAGTCAGTGCTTGTCTGGTGACCCCTTTGGGTCTTATCCCCGAGGAGGGGAAGGGTCCGTTGAGAGTGTCGGTCCCGGGACTTATCTCGCAGGCTTTGTGACTAAGCAGATCCTTGTGCCTCAGTAAGACGATAACTAAGCCCTAAATTCCGCAGGATTTTCCTTCTCTGCACAAAATGACCAGAGTGCATGAAGCCATCGCCTAAATCCCCGGGACTTTGTTACGTAATCACGTCTATGAAATCCCTACAGAGCCGAGTGTCTTTTTTTGCAGCCACCAACGACATAGCGTCCATGGCTCTAGGGAGACAGTCGGTTGCCCTCTTGAACCTCGATGGAGGATTAGGTGGACTCATATAGACCGCAGGGGGATTGGCGATTTGGTGGCTTTAGCTACAATTCTATTCTTAGCTCCCTTGATGGCTCATAAAGCTCTAAATCTCTTGAGCTGGTCACTGCCCTCCAGGTCTGCCACGGTTTTTGCACGTGTGGTCTCTGAAATGAGGGTCCTGGAGATGCCCACCTGCCAGGTTCTCAACTTGGGCATGTTTCAAAATGGCGCCCGGGAATGGATGGCTCCAAGAGACTTGTTGGACAGGACGGTGGTTTGAATATAGTTTGCTGGAAGATGGGTGGGATTGAGGTGGTGGGACCTTGAAGAGGTGGGATTAATGGTGTCCCAAGGGACGGTGTCCGTCTCCTATGACGGAATTAGGTCTCATGAGAGTGGGTTGCTGTCCAGGGAGGCTGTGCTGTGCACCACACTCCTAGTACCACCTGAATGTAGTTGGTTACGTTCCTCCTTCTCCGCCATATTGTAACACAGCTGGGTGGCCCTTACCACAGCCTGAGGAATGCCGTTGTGGCCTTCCAACCATCAGAATCCTGGGGTGTACCTTTTTTTCTTTCTACTTTACCCCGCCTCAGGTATTTTGTGACAGCAACACAAAACGGATTAAGCAGATGGTCCCAGACAGTGGCCGCGGGCAGCCACGGCACACGTTTCACTCCCTGCCCGCTGTTCCCATGTCGCTCAGAGACCCGAGAGATAATGCAAAGACCTCAAAACCACAGAGCTGGGTGGTCCCACTGGAGGACGGCTGAGCAAGGAATTAAAGAGTACCAACCCACATCCTCCGGGGGGCAAAGAGTGGACGTTCGAATAACTGCCCGAAAAGAGAGGGGGGTAAAGTCATCTGGGAGCCCAGGAGAAAAAAAGAGACAAAATATAAAAAATAGAGAAATAATTGTATGTTAAAAATGGGTGCAGTTCACTGAGTCCAATGAGGAAAAGAGTGAAGGTGGATATGGTGGATCCCAGCAACTTGGGAGGCTGAGGAAGGAGGACGGCAGGTGTGAGGCCAGCCTCAAGCACTTCGCCAGACTCTGTCTGAAAATAAAAAGGGGTGGGGGTGTAGCTCAGTGGTAGAGCACCCCTGGATTCAATCCCAAGAATAATAATAAGAAGAAGAAGAAAAATTTAAAAATAGATTGAAAAAACATCAATGGAGTCTTGAATAACAAGTAACTCTAGACCCGGTGGATTAACCGTTCAGATAAAAAGTAAGATATTCTGAAATACGTCGGAGCTCAGTCAACAAAAGCAATCTATTGCTTCTCCAAAAAATAAATAAAAAGAGTATCAGGAATATCGATGCAAATTGAGACCTCACTTTTGGACAATGTCGCGCCCCGGATGAATGACTCACCTCAATAGCGGACGTGATGCACTAGATGACGGATAGCCGTGTCCGTGTAGCTGGGGTGAGGCCGAGAGGCGGAAAACAGGATTGCTTTTCAGAAAAGAGCCTCGTGACCCCAGCGACGGAAGTGGCAAGCACCTGGTGGAAAGTTCTCCAAGTTCTGACTCTTAGACTCGAGGTTATGGGAGAGTCAGAGCGATGAGGTTTGGTGGTCCCCCGGAGATGGACTCAATAAATAAAATAAAATAAAAAAACTCAGAAAATATGTAACGCAGAAGATCTAAAAGATAAAAGAAGAAGAAAGAAGGATCCCGATGCGTATTTCTTCAAAGTTGGTGAGATAAAGGCGCTTAGTCATAGAGAATCAAATCTAAATTTATTCTTAGTTGTAGAAAATCAAACTTTTTACGTAGATGGATTCAAACTCTCTTAAAGAGACTATTGAGGACGTTCAGAGAAGGGGGTGATTCTTGAGAGGGCTTAAGATACCGGATGCACACGCTACCTCATTAAGAGACCTCATTAAACGACACTCGTTAGGAGACCAGGACGAGGAAGGATTCTGTGCACGTTCCGTAAAGACGATTTTCTTTTTGTTTTTTCCAGATATTTTCTCTCCGAGGTTGGTTAGCTCCCCGATGCAGAGGGTGGAATATATTTCATGGCTGAGTGACGGAGTGAGGATCTGAGCTCAGGAATGGCAGGTCCCAGGGCACTGGGGTTGGAATCTCCAAATGGGAAAGGTGCTTTCCCCCCCGCCACCGTCTCCTCTCGGTAAGTGATCACGAGGGCGAACCAGTCCTCCCAGCTCCTAATGGCTGGCGGCACACGCTGCAGGGGTGTTAGCTTCATGGAGGAAAAAAAAAATCACCAATATTCACGGAAAGGACAGTTTTTGCAGGGACCTTGTGATAAAGGTTTTTAAAAGACTGTTAAGTGATTCTACTAAGGACACTACCGTGTTTGTGCCATGCACACCTTCTAGAACCTTCAGCTACCTGTCCATGCCTCCGTTTATCTGTTTATCTACCTACCCTACATCATTATCCATCCATCCATCCATCCGTCCATCTCTTCATCCATCCATCTCTCCATCAACCCACCTACCTCCCCACTACCTGACATCATTATCTCTCCATCCATCCATCCATCCATCCATCCATCCACCTACCCTCCTACCCCCCTACCCTCCTGACACCACTATTGATCCATCCATACATCTACCTACCTACCCACCTCTCCTGCGTGTGGTTCTCCATCAGGAGCAATTTCGCCCACCGTGAGGCCATCTGGCACCAGCCAGACACGTCACGGAGTGTCACACTGTGCTGATTCCTACACGTAGAGACCAGATGCTCCTCAGCACGCTCCCGGGCACCCAGCGGTCCCCGGGATGAGATTTAGGCGGCCCCAAATGTTCGAAGCGTAAGGTCAGAAACGCTGGTCTGCAAGTATTAACAGGTAAAAATCCACGCTTTCCAAACGCGCTCTGCGTGGACCGTCGCGGAGCCGCCCGAGGAACACACTCTACGGAGCAGTCGCCTCCCATCTGTTTGGACCCCGTCGCTTCTCGACCGGGCGCTTGCGTCTGGCGTCTGGTATAGGAGGTGAAGCCGTCTGGTCAGGTTCCACTCTGTGACGGAGGCTGAACCCTCCTCTCGCCCATGACCACAGATGGCGCCCGAAACTCAGACCGACCTTCTGAATGCACAGAGCTTTAACTTTTGGGGGCCGAGGTGCGGGTTCTACATTGTGAACGACGCCGGGCAAGGACGACTTCTCTGTCCCCTTCCACGTCACTGAGAATGGAGGCTAACGAGAGACCTGGCCGACCGCCACCCAACCCCAAGGACTTACCCTGCTGCCATTTTGCATGGTGTAGACCAATAGTGGATTAATCCACTTGGATGGACTCACTGGGTGTAGACTCATAGTGGATTAATCCACTTGGATGGACTCACTGGGTGTAGACTCATAGTGGATTAATCCACTTGGATGGACTCACTGGGTGGTGACTGCAGCAGGTGGGGTGTGGCTGGAGGAGGGGGTCCCTGGGCTGTCCCTTTGGGGTCTCTGTCCTGTCCCTGGTGAGCAGAGCTCTCTCTGCTCCCTGGTGCCCTGTCCTGAGCTGCTCTCCTCCTCCAGGCCCTGCCGCCATCTTGTTCTGCCTCCCCTTGGGCCAGAGCCATGGAGTCGGCCACCAGGGACTGAGACCTTTCTAAAGCTGTGACCAGAACAGACTTTTCTTCATCTTCATTTCTCTTGCTGGGTCTTTTGGTCCCAGTGATCAAAAGGGTGACGGAAGCAAGTCCCATTGGCCACGTGCCACCTTTTACCTCGATAAGGTCTCCGAGGTCTTCTTCTAACAGACTGGAGAGCGCCTCCCTGGGTGCAATCTTAAAGCCTCTCCAGGTCACTTTTGAAACAACCTGGTGACGTGCCAACGCGATGTGTGCCCGTCCACTTTCCACTAGTGGAACCCCGACCTCGGATGACCGACGTACAAAAGAGAAAGGGTTGAAGGCGGCTCTCGGTTTCAGAGATTTCAAAGTTCCTCGGAGCCATTGCTCTTAAGGATCATCGTGGTGGGAAGGATGGGGTGCAGGAGATCATTCACTTGTGGACAGGAAGTCGGGGAGGAAGAAGAAGGCACTGGAATCCCGCACATACACAATGGAATATTACTCAGTCATGAAGAAGAATGCAGTGATGGCATTTGCAGGTAAATGGGTGGACCTGGGGAATATCCTGCTCACGGAAATAACCCGGTCCCCCCAAAACAAAGGCTGAGTGTCCTCTCTGTGATATGTGGATGCTAACTCATGCAGTCACTGCCGGAGGGGGGCAGCAGGTGGACACTAGAGCTCTATCAACAGTGCACAGCAGGACCCTTCCTGTCTGCGTTGACAGACAGCATCTCCTCACCACGTTCCCAGAGCCGTCCTGCCTGGGAGTCCCCCCAAGGTCCACCAGCGAACCCTCCTCTAAGCCCACGGAACCCACAGGGGCCCCCTCCCAGCCCCGCGAGGCCAACAAGAAAATCATCAAAAGGATCCTCAAGAACCCTATTTCTGCAGCCCCTAAAGAGACTCTGTAATACCGTTCCCACCCTTGACCCATGTCCAGCTTATGGGGAGCCCGGGGCCGGCTCCTTTCACTCAGAGCAAACCTTAGAAATGACCGCAGCGTCCCCCAACCCCAGTCCAGCGTCTCAACAAAGATGGCGCGACCCACTGTGGATGGGAGGTGCTCGAGGGACCTCCCAGGGACTCCCAGAGACGCTGGCTGGGGAGGGTCATTCAGGGCCCTGGGCAGTTGCTGGCCACCTCGCAGAGGGGGCCGTCGAAGCTCCAGTCCTCAAGATTGAGGACTCAGCTTGTGCAACGGCTTGCACACGTCCACCCAGAATGTTGTCCACCAGCATTTGACCAAGTTCACGCACTCCTCAGCTTATACCATGAGGACTTAAAATGGGCACAGTCCAGGGACATGGCCACACCCATGTTCGCAGCAGCTCGATTCACAGCTAAGCTACGGCCCCAACCTCGGGGCCCTTCAATACAAAAGTGGATAAAGAAACTGTGGTATGCATACTAAGTGGAATATTACTCGGCCGTGAAGAGGAATGAAGTGACGGCATTTGTAGGTAAACGGACGGAGCTGGACACTCTCATGCTCAGTGAAATAAGTCAATCCCCCCCCCAAAAAACAAAGGCCGAATATTCGCTCTGACACGCGGCCGCTGATTCACAATAAGGCGGAAGGAAGCGACAGAGCCTGACCTTTGCTGTTCAGGGTCTCTTCTCTTATCTTGCGGATGACTTCTTGGGCTTTGGCGTCATTGTTCCCAGCTACAAGGGAAAAGGAAAGAAAGAATTACAAAAAAAAAAAACATGCAAACCGTGAGTGACATGGCCTCCGACTTGCCATCCTCCTGCCTCAGCCTCCAGAGCCCCTGGGACGACAGAGATGAGACACGGGTTGGAGCTGACAGGGAGCTTTGACGGACAGGTGACCAGAAGCTCTTGGGGGCCTTCAGAGGGGCAAGGTGGCCCGGGACACCAGCCAGAATCGTCTGAACGGAAACCTCGGCCTCCATGAGCCGACCCGAACCTTTCCTCTCTCTAAGCTGCGGACCTCGGGTGTTTTCTCACAGCTCTGTCTCCATCACCACTGAGACGCGGGAGCCCCGGCCTCGGGATCCCAGGTCCTTTTACTGCGCAGGAAGTGTCTGCTGCTTCCTTCCTCCTGTTGGGAGGACTGTGTGGATCTCGGTCAGGACGGCCGCTGTGGAAAACAGCCGGGAGCTTCCTCGATGAATTTAGGGTAGGTCGACCATGGGAGCTACCCATCTCCTCACCGGGCATCCAACCCAAATGGATCAGCGTGCGGGGGGGGACATGGGCTCCGCCATATGCATTTCAGCAAGGTGCAGAAGCCAGTGAACTCGGTGCCTATCGACCACGGAAAGGACAAAGGTGGTTTGTGGGTGGAATACTATACAGCCATGCAAAGGGACGCTGCTCTGTCATATCTCAGCAGCACGGGAGGATCCGGAGGGCCTTCCGCTCAGTGAAATAAGCGAAGTACGGAAAGCAAACGGGCGGGGATGTCCCGAGACTGTATCACAGTAATGAGATGGCAGACATTAAAAAGGAAAAAAAAAAAAAATGTTAGGCGGGTGCACACCTCTCATCCCAGCAGCTTGGGAGGCTGAGGCAGGAGGATGGCAAGTTGGAGGCCAGCCTCAGCAACCGAGCGAGGCTCCAAGCAGCTCGGCGAGACCCTGAAGCAGATTGTGCATCCGCACGTCCCAAGGAGCTCGCCGGCCTCCGGGTTTCCCTGTCCCTGAATATCCACTTCCCAGGGTTTGCTCTACCTGACCCCTGGGTCCACCTGGAAGTGGCCACCTACAAGAGAAATCCGGAGTCCCCTCCCCGGAGGACAAGAGAAGCAATCATAAAGGTTCACCTATGATGACGTGCATGCCCAGCCTGGCCAGGTACTTGGCGGTGGCGAAACCGATGCCATCCGTGCCTCCCGTCACGACGGCCACGCGGTCCGGCTGCCGGCAGAAAACTGAGGAGGAAGCAGAAAAAAAAAAAAATCGAGGTTTAAAAAGCAGCGTCCAAGCCGGGAGGGTAGCGCCCGCCTGTCATCCCAGGTGCTGGGGAGGCTGAGGCCGGAGGATGGCAAGGTGGAGGCCAGCCTCAGCCACTCAGCGAGGCTCTGAGCAACTTGGTGACATCCGCACCCCTCCAGCTGCCCAGGTGACACTCTGGAACCCGACCGTGGGCAGCAACAACCCTTCCTTGTCCACGCCCTGGAGCACCCAGCTGCACACCCCCCAGGACCGGGATCCACAGAGAAGCAACGGGTCCCCACTTTGTCCCCGTCCTGAGCATGCCGGTCCTCATAGGAAATGGGCTGGCCCTCTGGGAGTTGGGTGGGCCTCACCCAATCAGTCGACGCAATGAAACGGGGTGAGAGCAGGGTGGGGCTCGCGAGCCAGCGGAGCAGTGCCCGACGCTGGGACCCGACCCACAAGGGAGCAATAGGAAGATGGATCGTGACTGCTGAGGAGTGCACTCGCTGTTCTGGCACAGGGGACCTGGGACGCTCGCTGCTTCGGGGACGAGGACCCCGGGTCTCGCGCGGATGGGGGGGTGGCGGTGACTCTCCTTTTGCTGCTTGTGGCCTGCGAATGAGCGCATCTGCGAGTGCAGAACGTGCAGCGCAGAGCGCCGACTGTATTCCCCCGCGTGCGCCCGGGCGGGGTGCGCCGTGTGACCCCCGGGGGCAGCTCAGACCTCACCGATGGGACTGGGGGGTCAAGACGCCCCGGGATGGGATGGGGGGACAGGTCAAAGCTGGACACAGGGAGGGGGGACGCGCAGGCCCCTGCGCCAGGCCTGGAGAGCCACTGGGCAGCTGCGCCCTCCCCGGTCCCTCCCCGGCCTCCTGGCAGATTCCGTCACATTGTCCCCGGGGCTAAAGCCTCTGCGCCTTTCCCGCCTTTAATCTTGGGTTAATCCCGACTCCCAGATGTCGGCTCCTGTCCAGGGAGATCAGAGGGGACCGGCGGCGGCTCTCCCAATTGGGGGCCAGCCCTGGCCACCTCCCCCAGCCCATCATGCAGCTGGTGTCCGGGGACTTCAGTCTGCAGGCTCTGCGCGCCCGCCCGCCCCCAGGACCGTGTGCAAAACGATCCCCGGGCTACATTGGCGCTGGAGGCAACCGTGCAACTGGACAGACAGGAGACGCACCCACGGCCCCCCTCACCCGGAGAAGCCCGGGCAGGTCCCCTGCTAAGTTTAGAACCCCCTGAGGTCACGCCCCTGGGGCCAGTGGCTAAGCTGGGGGGCTGACCTCATGCCTTCCTGGAGGCCAGCCTCAGCCTGGGCGAATTCCCGGCACGGAGGGCTCCGCCCACCTGCTCCACTCCCGCCTCCCTCTCCTCTGTGGGAAAAGAGGTCTTTGTATCCATCTCCCCGCGTGCAAAGGAGCAGAAAAGGAGCAAACAGTCCCCAGGTGTGCCAGGAAAACACGGGCAGGGGACACGGTGTGCAGCCGGCGCTTGTGTGTCATTCCAGGGGTCTGGAGGCTGAGGCAGGAGGACGGCAAGTTGGAGGCCAGCCTCTGCAACTTAGAAACACCATTTCTCAAAATAAATAGTAGTAATAGTAATAATAATAATAATAATAATAATAATAATAATAATAATAATAATAATAAAAGGGCTGGGGGTGTGGTTCTGTGGTTCAGCGCCCCTGGGTTCAATCCCTACCACAAAGAAAGAAATAAAAATGAAAATAAATAAAATTTCCCTGAGACCGCCCATCCGCGGGAGCCCCAGACGGGCATGGCCGTCACAGCAGAGGGTGACATTTATTTGAAAAGGACGAGAATGTTTGAAAACCAGGAAATCAGGATGCTCATGCACGTCTGCAAACGGGTTTTTTTAAAAACAGCATTTTATAAAGTCCTAGGGTCTCCTAACTGGAGGTGAGGCCTGGGGGGGAGGGTAGTGGGATCCCCTGAGGTCCTGAGGGTCACCATTGGTGGCTCTGTAAGAGGAGCCCTGAGCCAGCACGAGTGCGCCTCTCTCTTGGCCTTCCAGCCTCCAAAACCTTCCAACAAACCTTCATTCTTTATAAATCACCTGGTCTCGGGTGTTTTGTCACAGCTACAGAAAACGAACCAAGAGGTCCAGGTGGGCCTTGGGGGGGGGGGGGGTCTGCATCTACCGGGGCGGATGGCGCATGCGCTCCCAGGGCAGGAGAGCTGGTGAGTGACAAGGGTCCCAGACGTCTGTCCAGTCTCTACACAAAGTCCTAGGGGACAGGTGCTTTAAGCAGCTGCTTCTGAGACACAAAGAGAGCAGGAGGGGGGCGGAGGCCCAGGCGCAGGGTCTGCAGAGCCTCAGCGGCTGCTCCCCGACCCCCGCAGCCAGAGCCCAGCCGCTGACCCCCAGCAGGCCTCCTGACCCCCACCAGCCTCGCTCAAAAGCTCAGCGGGCGGGCGCAGCTGGGATCCGGGCCTCTCTGCAAAAGCAGGAAACCGGCCTCAGCTCGGGAGGGAAGCGAGAGGCAGGAAACTGTGCAGCTCCTGCTGCTGCAGCCCAGCGGGGCCCCTGGACGCTCTGCTCCGCCGGCAGGAGCTGTGGGCGCTGCATATGCCCGCGGCGGGCTCTGAGCATGTGCAGGAGAAAGAAGAGTCTGAGGTCCGGGAGGCCCGCACCACCACCGCCTTTGCCAGCTACTGGCTGCTTCCGGTTGTTTGATGTGTGGTTGGTTTTATTTTTTTCCCCCGTGTCCCTTGGCAGGGCAGGTCGGAATTTGCAAGTGACAACTGAGAACTAAAGAAAAATGCTAGAAAAGAAAAATACTTAAATGAAGGTCTTGTGCACACGGATTTTTTTTTTTTTTTTTTTGAGTGCTGCAGGGCTCCCTAAGAGTCTCCTGTCACAGTCACGTCGGGGCAGGATAGATTTGGTGCAAAATAGAAGAACTAACAGGGGGAAAGGAAGGGGGAAGCGCTTCCTCTGGAACCTTGGTGCAGCCTCAGTCCCTCCAACCTGTGTCCCCAAGCCTGTACCCACCGTCACCTGTTTTTTTTTTTTTTTGGCACCAGGGATTGGACCCAGGGACACTTAGCCACCGAGCCGCGTCCCCAGCCCTTTCTATATCTCAGTTTTAGAAATAGTTCTTGCTAAGCTGCCTAGAGTCTTCTCATGTAGAGGCTGGCCTCCACCTGGCGATCCTCCTGCCTCAGCCTCTGCCTCCCAAGCTGCTGGGTTTATAGGCATGGACCACCACATCCAGTCCCAAGTTCCCTTTAAAAGGACCCCGAACCCCCAAATGCCCCGATCCCTCTCAAGGTGGCCTGCACTCTGCCCCACAGAGAGCCCCTCTGGATCTCCTAAATAAATCTCCGGGCATCAACAAGTGACCGGTGCCCACATGAGGTCCCCCTGTTTGGGACCTCCTTGGGCTACTGCACCCACTGAGTCCCTTGGGTATCTGACGCCAAAGAGAGAAGGAGAAAAGAAAAACGCAAAAAACCACAAACATCTGAACTCAAGGCTGCAAGACCCAGGGCCAGACCTGAACTGTGAGTGGCCGGGACAGGTGTCCTTTAAGGCCAGCGAGGACCAGCCTGTGGGCAGACCCGAGGGTCCTGGGACGGAGGCACGCGCAGCAGACAGCAGCAGCGGCGGCTTTGCGTCTCTGGTTGATTGAGCAGAGTCCAAGGTCTGAGCTTCCAGGAAGGCAAGGGGAAACCGGCAAGAAGCGCAAAATCCCAACATTGTCGCGAGATACCAAAAGTGCCGCTGTCCACCTGAGCCTGTCCCTAGCCCAGCCCCCTGGGCACCCTGGGCGCTCCCAACTCGCACAAGGAGCTGGGTGCCTGGGGACCAGGGAGCTCTGCGTTCCCGCTCTTACGGAATGGAGCAACGTCCCCAACGGGAAAAGCGGTCCTACATTTAGCAGCGCCTATCCCGGTTCCCGGGGGGACCCTTCCCGTCAGCCAATTCCGGAAAAAAAAAAAATAAATATATATATTAAGTTTTATTTTTATTTTTTTGCAAATTAAATGCTCCCCCACGAGCTTGAGTTTTTTTTTAACAGAATTCAAACGTCTTCTCCCATCCGAGAACCTCAAATTCCCACCTCCATGGCGGGAAGTCGGCCTCGAGCAGGTTTAAACAAAAGCAGAAAAAGAAAAAAAAAAAAAAAAATTAGGGGTCTTTTACTGCCCCCCCCCCCCCAGAAACCTAAAAATAGCTCACCTCGGTTCATGCGTCACAAATAAAACCCAGAACCGCAAGATGCATGAACTACCCGGCTTAGAAGTGGCTTCAAGAGCGGGAATGCTTATAATCCCAGGTGCTCGCTCGGGAGGCTGAGGCGGGAGGATGGCGAGTTCAAAGCCAGCCTCAGCCACAGCGAGGCCCTGAGCCGCTCAGGGAGACCCTGTCTCTAAATAAAATGCAAAATAGGGCTGGGGACGGGGCTGCCTGAGGCCCCCCACCCTGTGTCCCCAAGCCTCTCCCCACTGCCACCTGTTGTTTTTTTTTTTGTTTTTTTTTTTGGGGGGGGGGGGGTGGGCACCAGGGACTGAACCCAGGGACACTGAACCGCTGAGCCACGTCCCCAGCCCTTTTTATATTTCCCTTTTAGAAACAGGTCTTGCTAAGCTGCCGAGGGCCTGGCTGGTCGCAGAGGCTGGCCTCCAACTGTTGATCCTCCTGCCTCAGCCTCCCAAGCTGCTGGGATTATGGGCCCTGACCACCGGGGTCCAGTTCTTGGGGGGAAATCAAGCATCAGCCGTTGCCCGGCTTTTGAGGCAGCTGTGGCCGTTGGTGTGTGGAAGGTGACCGAGGACAGGGCACCCCCCCCCTCGCCGTGTGCGTCCTTCCTTCTCGGCTCTTGACTGTCCAGTGTCCACTGAGGCGGCCCCTAGAGGAAGCCCCCGTCCCTGAGCCCGAAGAAGCCGCCGCTGGCCGGGTCCCCCAGCGGGAACAGCTGCTCGGGGTCGAGCCCCCACTCGCCCTCGTCCTCGTCCTCGGGCTCGGCCTCGACGGCGGCGGCCCGGCCGTTCTCGTAGAGGAACACCTGCTGGTCCACGTGCGCGGGGGCCAGCCGGTTCCGCTTGGCGCTGACCACGTTGGCGGCGGAGCCGAAGAGGCGCTCGGGGGGCAGGCGCGTGGCGGCCACGCACCAGTACTTCTGCAGGACCTGGGGCAGCACGGGGAAGAGCGCCAGGCGGTCGGACCACCACTTGAGCGGGTCCTCGTGGAGGCCGAGGACCTTCTGCGACTTGAAGTTGCTCAGCTCCTCCAGCAGCTGCGCGTGCACCTCCTCCTGGTCCTCGGGGCCGGCCGCCGGGCGGAAGATCTCGGCCAGCAGGCTGTGGATGGCGCTGGCCGGCCTCTTGGCCGGGGGCTCCTCGGAGCCCGCCGACGGCTTGTCCTCGGCGGGCAGCGGTGGCGGAGGCGTGGGGCAGCCGCGGTCCTTGGCCTTGTCCAGCAGGCCCTTGGCCTCCTCCACCACCCGGTTCTCCACCTGCTGCCTCTCGAAGGCCGACAGGAAGGGCAGCCTCTTGTAGCGCGGGTCCAGGAAGGTGGCCACGTTGAGGAACAGGTCGGTCTCGGGCGCCTCCTGGTAGGTCCGGCTCAGCTCCTTGGCCATCACCTCCTTGGCCATGCTCAGGTCCTTGGGGTCGCCGTCCTTGGCGGGCAGCGTCGTGTTGAGCAGCATGTGCAGCAGCGGCTTGACCATGCTGATGGTCGGGTGCCGCGCGGCGGCCAGCGCCTCGGCCACCTGCTGGAAGGGCTGCAGCAGCTCCACGAGGCCGTCGATGGTGGCCCACTCGGCGGCCTCGAGCATGAGGTGGTGGTTGTTGCTGTCCTCCACCAGGACGCCCGCGATGGCGAACTGCTGCTCCCGCAGCCGCTGCAGCATGGCCAGCGTGCTGCCCCAGCCGGCCACCCGGTTGCTGACCAGCATGCAGCGCGCGGCGCCCTGCAGCCTCTGCTTCTCGGCCAGCATGTACCTGGCCACCGACGACTGCTGGAAGTAGGCCACCAGGCGGCGACAGCGCGCCAGCAGCGCGGCCAGCTTGGGCAGCCGGAAGGCCTGCTGGATGGCGGCGTCGAAGGCGCGGCCCAGGCACGGCATGTGCACGGGGATGTCCAGCAGCGAGCACGCCTGCGCCACGTCCTTGGCGCAGTCCGTGGTGGCGCCGGAGACCTTGGCGCTGACGCCCCACTCGATGAAGGTCTCGTAGAGGACGCGCGTGATGGTCTCGGCCGCGTTCTCCTCGGGCACCTCGAAGGTCTTCAGGCACCGCGAGGCCACCGACAGGCAGTTGGGCGACGCCAGGCCCAGGAAGTGCGCGGCCAGCGTCACGTAGGCGCGGTTCTGGTTGTCGCTGCGCCACAGCTCGGTGGACACGCCGCACCAGGCGGCCTCGGCCAGCTCCTTGCGCACGGCCTCGCGCACCGCCCCGTAGCGCGCGGGCAGCGCCCGGCTGCAGAAGAACCGGGCCCTGGGCAGCTCGTAGCGGGGCTCGGCCGCCCGCAGCAGCGCGCGGAACGCGGGCTCGTCCACGGTGGACGCGGGGAAGAGCCCCTCGCAGAGCAGCGCCAGCACCGCGCCCGTCAGCTCCTGCTGCCGGCGGCCCTCCAGCCCCGGCTTCCCGGCCAGCGCGTCCTGCGCCCCGGGCAGCTGCGACGACGACGAAGGCGGGGGCGGCGGCGGGGGCTGCGACGTCGAGGGGGACGAGGACGAGGCCGCGGAGGAGGAGGAGGAGGAGGAGGAGGAGGAGGCGGCGTCGGGCTTGAGCTTGGAGAAGGCGGTGGCGAAGGCCTCGCGCATCTGCTCCGTGTTGCTCTTGATGAACTCGCAGAACTCCTCGGGGTGGTTCTTCTCCAGGTGGTAGGAGAGGTTGGACGTGTTGCCCGAGTAGGCGATCTGCGACATGCAGATGCGACAGTAGATCTTCTTCCACTGCAGGATGCACCCCTCGGCGTTGGTGTCGAAGCCGAAATACTTCCACACCTTGCTCTTGGCGCGGGGGTGCGCCACCAGCTTCAGGTCGGCCTGCGACGGCTCCCCCGCCTTGCTCTCCATGGCGTCGTCGGCACGGCCGGGCCGGGCGACCGCTCAGGCGCGGGCACCTGCTAAATAAGCACCAAGACAAACACAGCGTGAGAAGAGACGCGCGCCACGGCGCCCCCCGCCGGGGACACGGCACGGCGCAGGGCAGGGCCGAGCGGGCATGCGCGGAGCAGCACAGCCGTCCATCAAAGGCACCGCGCATGCGTCTCGCTCGCTTGCAGAGCTGGGAGCCCGACACTAGGGGGCGCGGCTCGGGTCACTGCAGACGCCCCAGGCAGCCCATCAGGCTCCAGGTCCCTGTCCAAGGCCTTGGGCCAAAGACCCAGAGGGTGCACCATGGGGGAGGGAGTTCCGAGCGCAGGACGCGTGGAGACCCACACCCTTCAGGGCCCGCGGGGAGCAGCAACCAGCCCCCAAGGTCAACAGAGGTCAGTCCTGGGCAGCCCAGAAGCGGCAACGGGATGCTGCTTTGGCTACCAGGGTCTTGAGTCTGGCCACAAAGCGTTGGACCCCAACTTCCAAACGAACTGGAGGCCCTTGGTGAACGCCGCAGGCTCAGGAGCAGCCTAAGTGCATCTGTGCTTGTGGACACACATGCACCTAGGAGCTCTTGGAGCAGAAGATTGGATGATCCGCGAGACAGCCACATCCCCAGGTCCTCGGAGCCGCCACCCAGGGTCCCCTCTGTGCGCAAGGACCTCCAACACAGCTCGGTTTTCTTAAGAGACACTGGGGACCCCTAAGCCAGGCGCGGTGGCCCACGCCTGTCATCCCAGCAGCTCAGGAGGCCCAGGCAGGAGGACGGCGAGTTCCAAGCCGGCCTCAGCCAAAGCGAGGCTGGGAGCCACTTAGCAACGCCGCCGCCACCGTCTCTAAATGAAATATGCAAACGGCTGGGGATGCAGCTGGCTCCGTGGTCAAGTGGCCCTGGGCTCAATCCCGGTTTAAAAATAAATTTAAAAATAAGTTAAGAGAGAGACACAGGCTGGGGACACTCGCAAGCTGTCAGCGCTGAACTGAAGCCAAACCACAAAGCGGACCACGGAACCCACGACGCAGTGCTCAGAGCCAAGCCAAGAAACGTCCCCCACGGCCCGGGCAGGCTGCAGAGGGCCCACCTCCAACCCAAGACCACGGCCACCAGGGAGCCGGGCCTCGGACCTCGTGTGCAAACAGGGTCTCTGCAGAGGTGGTTAGTGCAGGGCCCTGAGATGGGCTCCTCCTGGGTCAGGGGGCCCTCGTGCCATGGCCGTGTCCTCCCCAGAGACAGAGGAGGGGACACAGACCCAGAGGAGGAGCCCCGTGGAGACGGAGGCAGAGACTGGAGTGAGGGGCCACCCGCCCAGGGTGGGGCTGAGGACCAGGTTCCTTTGCAAGACCCCAGAGCCCTGCTTGTGCCGTGTTGGGGGTTGGGGAGAAGCACTCAGCAGGACACGCAGGTGGACTTCCAGACAAGGGGACCCCTGAGCTGCTCACGACTAGGCCAGTGAGGGTAGCATACCCAGGGCGGAAACGTGGGCCAGGTGCTGAGATGCCTTCCTGCCGGCCCAGGGCCACCAGTCTGACCCCTGCAACAGCGTGGGGCGGTACGGGCACTGCCCACTGGGTCCTCGTCACCATTGTTGTGTTCCTATAGAGTGACCACCACTGACCACCAGGGCCACTTTTATGTTTTACATAAAACATGAAAGTTTTACATCTGATTTATTATTATTATTATTATTATTATTGCTATTATTATTGGGCTGAATAGGTCCCTGCTACCTGTAGGAAAGTTTCATATTTAATATTTAATTTATTATTGTTATTATTAGGCTGAAGAGCTCCTGATACCTGGGAGAAAGTGATATTTCAATTTATTATTATTATTATTATTATTATTATTGTTATTATTAATTATTATTATGAGGCTGAAAAAATTCTGGTATCGGGAAGAATTTATTATCTGGTATTCAGTAATTATTTATTACATACTCTGATCACCATTACTATTTGGCAGAAAGAGGTCGCAGAACATGAAGGAAAATTTTTAATATACAAAATTGGTCATTAACTTTATTATTTGTTATGATTTTTCTATTTGTTGCCAAGTGCGGTGGCACACACTTATCATCCGAGTGGCTCCGGAGGCTGAGGCCGGAGGATCGCAAGTCGGAGGCCAGCCTCCGCAACTTAGCAAGGCCCAAAGCAACTCAGGGAGACCCCTGTCTCTAAATAAAATATAAAAAGGGCTGGGGACGGGGTTCCGGGGTGAAGCACCCCTGGGTTCCATCCCTGGTACCCCCCAAAAAAATTATTTATCATTTTTGTTATTATTTGGAAATGAGAAGGCCTGGTACCCGGAGGAAAGTTTTGCATTGGATCATTCTTACTTTTATTGTTGTTATTGCTCTTATTTAAGTCCTGAACTTGGAGGAAAGTTTCCTACATTTTGTCATTATTGATCATTTATTATTATTATTATTATCCCTTTTATTAATTAGGCTGGGAAGGTCTTGGCACCCAAATGAAAAAACTTTTTCAATTATTATTATTTATTATTACTGATGCTAATATTTGGCTAAAAGAGGTTCTGGTGGCGGTTATTATTATTATTATTATTATTAGGCTGAAAGAGATCCTGAGAGTTTATTATCATTATTATTAATTTTTATTGCTATTTTTATTAGTATTTGTTCAAAAGAGGCCCTGGTACCTAGAGGAGCATTTTATATTCATTTTTAGTTTCTCTGTTTCTTTTGGGGTATCCGGGATTGAACTCGGGGGCCCTCCACCCCTGAGCCCGGTCCCCAGCCTTATTTTGCATTTTATTTACAGACAGGGTCTCCTTGAGCTGCTTTAGCCTCGCTTTGGCGGAGGCTGGCTTTGAACTCATGATCCTCAGGCCTCAGCCTCCCCAGCTGCTGGGGTGATAGGCGTGTGCCGCCGCGCCCGGCTTATATACAGGCCTGCAGGGCAGCGTGGGATTCGACTGTGGTCATTACTATCATTATTGCTCCTGTTTGATTGACAGGCGCTGGTAGCTAGAGAATGTCTTATCAGCAAGTGTCACAGTTACAGATAGGACCCGGCGATGGCCCTAGGCCTGGAGCACACCCCTGTCCCTGACCCAGCTTCCAAGGACCCCGCCTGCAGGTGCCGCCTGTCAGTTCCCCAGAACCTGCAGCCACAGGGACCCGGGAGCCCCTTCCCTGCAGCTGGGTGGAGCGGGCTCCCAGCTGCAGGTACAGTTGGCTCCAGGCGCTCCCAGGCTGGTCTCAGGGTCCCTGAGCGGCTACCCAGGCAACCCCCCCCCCCCCCCCCCCCCCCCCGGGTCTTGCCTTTTCTGATTCCTCATGTGTGAGCCAAGGGCTGCATTTTCCACATATTGTCCCCCAGACCCAAGCAAAGCCACAGTATTTCCTCAGGGACGCGGTGACCTTGAAAACCAAGTCAGGAGACTGCACCAATGAATATTGCCTACAGGGAAAGAGGGAAGGGTATAAAAAGATATCCCAGGACGCTCTGGTGTCCATCACATGGGGAAGGGAGGGAGGGAGGGAGGGAGGGAGGGGAAGACACAGTGGCTTGGGAGGCTGGGGCAGGAGGACGGCAAGTTGGAGGCCAGCCTCAGCAAGTTAGCAAGGCCCTAAGCAACTTAGCGAGACTCTGTCTCTAAATAAAAAAAATAAAACAAAAAGGCCTGGGGATGTGGCTCAGGGGTTAACACCCATGAGGTCAAACCCCAGCACCAAAAAAACTAACAAATAAGCATTATGTCCTGTAAAAAATATATATATATATATTTTTTGTGTGTGCATGAAAAATAAAATACACGTCTGCAGGGGTCGCTCCCTGGTCGCTTTGCAAACCTGAGGCCCTGGGTTCCGGCCCAGAACTGCAAAAATAAAGCAAAATATAGAAATAAAACCAGTTCAGAAAAAATGAGCACTAAAAGTTGCTCATCTGCAACATAAAAAATGGGTCCTTTTCTCCCACTTTTGGAAATATTCACCTTATACAAAAGGTCTGCATTCTTCACAAAGCCCCGCGTTTTCGGGCTCTTTATTAAACGCCGTTGGCATACGGGGTGTGAAGTTTGTTTCCCTCAGGGTCACGTTGGGTGAGTGACAGGCCTGCACCCCACACCTCTGCACCCGGATGCACTTTGGGCTACAAAATGCAATCATTCACCTCCCGCCTCTTACCATGTGATTGACAGGCCTTCCTTAAAAGGTGGGCCATTTAAATGCGGCCTCCAGGAGGTGGGGACAGACCCTAACTTGCCCCGCCAACCCCTCCCAGCTGAGGAATGCCATTCCTTTGCAATTAGTTTGCTTCTCGGCAGAACGCAGTTGAGCTGGGCTTGCAGTCAGACTCCAGGGTGGACTTTCCCGCCCGCAGCCACACCGGAGGGCACAACCCAAGCTGGATGCAGCCCCTTTATTAAAAAAAAAAAAAAAAAAGATTCTGAAAGCCCGGTTTGTTTGCAATCCTCCTGCAAAGCCCAGGGTAAAGGTCAAGCTTTGCACGTTCAGAACGAATCAGAAGCTGGATCCACGGCACAAAATGAAACAAAGTGACATTTTTGAGCGGGGACGGAACATGGAGGCCTCAGGCAGAGAGGGCAAGGCCCGGCCTGCCCTGCCAGCTCCAACAATGGCCCAGGCGACCGGAGGGGAAGGACGTCACTTGGAGAATGCAAAAGCTGTCAATCAAGGTGCACGAGAAGGGACCTCCCTCCAGGTGCCTGGGGCCACCGGTTCCTCTCCACCGAGAGCTTTTTAACGACTTTTTTTTTTTTTTTTTGATCCACAGGTGGGACCCCCAGTGGCCCAAATGGCAGCTGCCCAGGTTCCCCGAGGCCGTGTCGGGCAGGCAGCAGCCCTCGCTGAGCTCAACTGAGCTGAAATCCAGTTCCGTGTCCAATGCTGCCGCTCAGCTGAGCGCATTCCCGCGCAGGTGACGCGGCTGTCGCAAAGCAAAACTTGCACGGACGAGCAGCGGCGGGCAGGCTGCACCTGGGCCCCGCCAGGGACTGTCCCCTGGCAAAGGGACCTTGCCTCGCAGCTCCCTCCCGGGGCCAGGTCCTTGCACCACCCTCTGCGGTCACTCCCAAACGGCTCAAAAACACTGAAGGTCACTTTTTCAGGAAGCAGAAAGGTGACCCCAGGCGACATTCAAATGGACCCTTTCCCGGGGCTGCCAGGCCGAGCGCCCCACGTGGCCGTGCCTTTCAAGAGCGCGCGGGCCTCGGGCTGGGTCAACACGGGAAATGGAGTCATTTCGTAACCACACGCGCCTGCCACCAGCCCGGCCCGCCCCGGTGTCGCAGGGGCGCCCTGCGCAGTTGGCCAGGCGGAGAGGCAGACGCCAGGGTGCACGCCCGCGCCCCGAGGCCGGGGAGTGACTTTGCTTTAAGAGTGAAGCCGTCCTTTGGGGCTCCGCATCTCGGTGGCCTGTCGCGCCCCGGGACTGTGTCCCTCCAAACACGCCGGCGCTGGCTCGGACCCCCACGCCGAGCCGTGCAAATGCCCCGTGCGCGCGCACACCCCGCGGCCTCCCCCGGGCCTCGCAGGCGGAGGCTGCGCGTCCCCCGGGCGCTCCCCGGAGGCCCCCGGGAACAAAGTTGCGCCGCCCCCCGCAGCCTCCCCGCGGCCCGCTGCGCCGCCGGCTCCACCTCCCGGAAGGCCCGGGTCCCCTCCCGGGGGGGGGGACGACCGAGGGCTCGGGGCGCCCCCTGTCCCTGCCCTCCCCTCCCCTCCCCTCCCGGGACGCACGGGGCGCGCGGCCTCCAGCAGACCCCCGGCGCCGAGCGCCCACCACAGCCGCCCGAGGTCGGGCGCGCACGGGCCCCGGGGGCTGGGCCACGGCCGCGGGAGACGCGGGCCCCTCGGACGACCCCCGCCCGGCCCCCCGCAGGGGACACCGCGAGCGCGCGGCCGCCCGCAGCAGGAGCGCGCGGGGGGCGCAGCTGCGCGGCCCCGACCCGCCGCCCCCGAGCGCGCGCCGCGGACCCCAGGGCCACCCCCGCCCCCGCGCCCCGCTGACCTGGCTCCGCGAAGCCCCCGAGGCAGCGGCGCAGCAGCTGCGCCACCAGCACCGCGGCCCCCGCCGCGTACACCCGCAGGGCCGCCCGCGCCGCAGACAAAGGCGACATGGCCGCCCGGACGCGCCACCGCTCCGCCCGCCCTCCGCCCGCCCGGGACCCGGCGTCGCCCAGCGGGACGCGGAAACGCCCCGCCCCGCCCCGGCCGCAGACCCCACCCGACCCCGGGACCCCAACCCCAACCAGATCCCCTCCAGGGTCCCCAGATCTCCACCCCCCCAGACCCCACCTGACGCCGAGACCCCGGGACCCCAGACCCCGACCAGAACCCCTCCAGGGACCCCAGATCTCCACCCCCAGACCCCACCCGACCCCGGGACCCCAACCCCAACCAGATCCCCTCCAGGGACCACAGATCTCCACCCCCCCAGACCCCACCCGACCCCGGGACCCCAACCCCAACCAGAACCCCTGCAGGGTCCCCAGATCTCCACCCCCCCAGACCCCACCTGACGCCGAGACCCCGGGACCCCAGACCCCGACCAGAACCCCTCCAGGGACCCCAGACCTCACCCCCCCAGACCCCACCCGGACCCCGGGACCCCAACCCCAACCAGATCCCCTGCAGGGTCCCCAGACCTCACCCCCCCAGACCCCACCCGGACCCCGGGACCCCAACCCCAACCAGAACCCCTCCAGGGACCCCAGACCTCACCCCCCCAGACCCCACCCGACCCCGGGACCCCAACCCCAACCAGATCCCCTGCAGGGACCCCAGATCTCCACCCCCCCAGACCCCACCCGGACCCCGGGACCCCAGACCCCGACCAGAACCCCTCCAGGGACCCCAGATCTCCACCCCCCCAGACCCCACCTGACGCCGAGACCCCGGGACCCCAGACCCCGACCAGAACCCCTCCAGGGACCCCAGATCTCCACCCCCCCAGACCCCACCTGACGCCGAGACCCCGGGACCCCAGACCCCGACCAGAACCCCTCCAGGGTCCCCAGACCTCACCCCCAGACCCCACCCGGACCCCGGGACCCCAGACCCCAACCAGAACCCCTCCAGGGACCCCAGATCTCCACCCCCAGACCCCACCCGGACCCCGGGACCCCAGACCCCAACCAGATCCCCTCCAGGGACCCCAGACCTCACCCCCAGACCCCACCTGACGCCGAGACCCCGGGACCCCAGAACCCCTCCAGGGTCCCCAGAGCTCACCCCACCCCCTGAAACCCCAGGACCCCAGACCCCCATCCCGACCTCCACCTGGACCTCAGCCCACCACCCAGGACCCCAGACCCCCACCCCACCGGAAACCCTGGGACCCCAGACCTCCACCCCACCCCCTAGACCCCCGGGACCCCAGACCCCCATCCCGACCTCCACCTGACCCCAGACCCCCACCCTGGCCCCCCGGACCCCAAACCCCACCCATATCCCGGGTCCCCAGACCCCCATCCCAACCTCCTCCATCCCGTCCCCCAGACCCCCAGGACCCCAGACCCCTGGGACCCCCAAGACCCCAGACCCCAACCAGAACCTCCCCAGGGTTCCCAGACCTCAACCCCCCCACCCCACCCGGGACCCCAGACCCCCATCCCGACCTCCATCTGGACGTCAGATCCCTACCCTGCCCCCCCACCCCAGACCCCACCCAAACCCTGGGACCCCAGACCCCCATCCCGACCTCCACCTGACCCCAGACCTCCACCCCACCCCCTAGACCCCCAGGACCCCAGTGACCCCATCCCGACCTCCACCGGACCCCAGACCCCCACCCTGGCCCCCCGGACCCCAGACCCCACGCGCATCCCAGGACCCCAGACCCCCATCCCAACCTCCTCCATCCCGTCCCCCAGACCCCCAGGACCCCAGACCTCACCCCCCAGACCCCTGGGACCCCCAAAACCCCAGACCCCAACCAGAACCTCCCCAGGGTTCCCAGACCTCAACCCCCCACCCCCAAACCCTGGGACCCCAGACCCCCATCCCGACCTCCTCCACCTGGACCCCAGACCACCATCTCGGCCCCCCACCCAACCCGGGACCCCAGACCCCCATCCCGACCTCCATCTGGACGCCAGATCCCTACCCTGCCCCCCCATCCCAGACCCCACCCAAACCCTGGGACCCCAGACCCCCATCCCGACCTCCTCCACCCCGCCCCACAGACCCCCCCCCCCCAGGGACCCCAGACCTCCATCCTGACCACCCCGACCTGCTCCAGCACCAGACCCTGCCCCGGACCCCAAGGACAGCAAATCTCCATCCCAGCCCCCTGGGGACCCCAGACATCCACCCAGCCCCCACGTGCACGGCAGACCCCCGCCCAGACCCCGCCCCGGATGCAGACCTCCATCCTGACCACCCCGACCTGCCCAACAGCGGACCTTGCCGGACACCCCAGGGACCCCAGACTCCACCCAGCCCCCAGCTGCCCCGCAGACCCTCAGGGAAACGGCAGACCCCCCAAGGACCCCAGACCTCTATGGGGAGGCCCCATCTAAGCAGCAGACGGCCACCCACCCTATCTGCACCCCAGGGGCCCTGGACGGGGAGGACAGTCCCCCCTACCGGAGGGTTATGCTGCCTGGCGCCCCCTAGTGGAGGGGCAGGGAATGTCACCAAGATGGCACTGTGGTCCGGAGGAGCCTTCTGAGGGGCGCCCCAGACTTTGAGGGGTTCACAAAACTGCTTTCAGTTAACTTGTCTTAAAATCTGAAAATAAAATTCTATTTAATCACAGCAAATATAAATAATGCATGGTTTGGGGTTTTTTTTTTTTTTTAACCACCAAAGTGGCTAAATTTTTAATTGATTTGAATCGTGCAAATTTAGGGGTACCCGGTCATACTGGATGCACGAATATAGGGTGCCATGGTTAAATTAGGGCTTTCAGCAGTAGAACCTACTCTCATTAAGGAAAGGTGTCCAGAGAGTTGTCCCTTGGGGGGGCAGATCATGAAGCTTCAGGGTGGGTGGGCAGTCCCCTGAAGCTCCAGATATTTATTTTTATTATTTTTTAAAAATTTTTGTTGGTTTGTGGGGGACTGGCTTACTTCACTTCGCATGATAATCTCCAGTTCCAGGCATTTATTGGCGAATGCCTTGATGTCGTTCCTCTTCGTGGCTGAGTAATATTCCGTGACCACAGTTTCCCTATCTACTCCTCTGTTGAAGGGCACCTAGGTTGGGTCCACTGCTTGGCTACTGTGAATTGAGCGGGAGGGTCGGGGATTCACGGTCCGCCCCCTTTCTTCCCTGAAAACCCACTGGGCTGGTGGCTGGGCACCCCTTCAGCGTGGGGTCTAAGGTCCTCTCCACCCTGACCGCTGGACGGACGAGGTCACTTCTGGGCGTTTTCTTAAAAACTCTGCAGAATTTGACTCGTGCAATCGCAGGCCACCCAAAGGGCAGGGTTTGGGGAGGGTCTTTGGGTTTCTTGGGAGGTTTGTGCGTGTATTTGTTTTTTTTTTTTTTTTTTTTTTGCATTTTGCATTTTGCGGGCTTGGGCAGGGGGGAGGCCCCCCACCCCGGGCGCCCACACAATGGTGTTTGTGTCTGAAATCTCGAGAGGGCGGGAAGACGGGGACGGTGCCTTTGGAATCGGTTTCTAAATCCGCTCTGCAATTTTACTCGGTTCCTTTGTGCGAGGACAAAGGACGCACGTGCATCAGTGCCAGGCGCCAGGGGCTCCAGATGCAGGGGCGTGGCCGTGTCTCCGCTCGTCTTGAAAGTTGGTGCTTGAAATAGCAACGGGCCGTTGGATGCCACCGAGGCTGCTCCGCCTCATCTGAGCACAGGTTTCCGTTTTCCCCCTACCGAGGGATTCCTGCCGGTCTGACCTGTTATCCAACCACGTGCTGGGAGAAGGAAGAGAGGAGGGAAATATTGACCTAACACGGCATAAAATTAAAATATGTGCATATCTATCTATGCCTCAATTCTCCTCCTTCCCTTCCTCTTGGATCCCTGAAGACTCTGAGATGTCCACTCGAAAAAATCAGACCTGACCCTGTGGCTCCAGCCGGGCACCACGGTGCACACTTGTTATTGCTGTGGCTCCTGGAGGCTGAGGAAGGAGGATCTCAAGTTGGAGGCCAGCCTCAGCAACTTAGTGAGGCCCTGAGCCACTCAGCGAGACCCTGTCTCTAAATAAAATATAAAAAGGTCAAAGGACAAGGACCCTCCTGGGCCAGCTCCCCACCACCCGTCCTCCCCACAGGGCTGGCCCACCCGCAGAAGCCGGGAAGGTGGGTTTGTCATAGTCAGGGAAGGACGTGGGTCAAGAGCATCCGATCTTGGCGACTCAAATGATTCCACCTTATTCATTTATTGGTACCAGGGACGGACCTTGGGGACCCTTGACCCCTGAGCCCCCGTCCCCAGCCCCTATTTTGCATTTTATTCAGAGACAGGGTCTCCCTGAGCTCCCGAGGGCCTCGCTTGGGCGGAGGCTGGCTTTGAACTCGCGATCCTCCTGCCTCAGCCTCCGGAGCCGCTCCTGGGATTCTGCGCTGCTCCTGGGCGGCGCTGGGTGTCATCCATCTTCTTGCAAATTAAACAGTTTCTCACGTTTTTTTCTGCAGAATCTCCTTCTCAAAGCGCCGGCTTCTCCAGGTGGAGAAGGAGGGAAAAAATTAAAATTCCGTGGTGTGACAGTCCCCAACCTGGTCTCCCAGATGCGGCGCTGGGAGGTGAGGCGGTTCCCTCCCGACTGGATTTTCCTTTCTCTCCTTTTATTTGTTGGTGTGTTTATTTATAGCCAGCCACTGCCCTATTTTCCTCCCGATGGCCACGGTGGTGATCTCTGAAAATAACATCTGGACCTTTCTTTTTCTTTTTTTTTTTTTGGTGAATTTTTCTTCTCAAGGTTCAATGCACCTGGAGAGAACTAGAAGGTTCCGCGGCCACCTGACTCCCATCCGGGTCAGTTTGCATGCAAAGAATTTCCCTTGCACAATGTCCTTCTCCCGGGGACTACTGGACGTGCTGCCCAGTAGCTGGTGCTCATGGACCTGGGTGGGGGGGGGGGGCGGGGGTCCTGGGTTCTGGGTTAGGCTTCACCAGAGCAATGAGCTGGAATCTCCAAAATCATGCCCCGAAGTAGA